GCATGATCTTCCAACAATGAAAGTAATCCATAAAATTGATGTATCTTCTTTGTATCTACTCCTATGAACACGTTCTCTACCAAATTTATAGCATCATGGATCATGAGTATATATGTTCAAAATGGGGAAAATCTTACATGACCACTTGCATGATGATTGTGTTCTAGTTCTTGATATATCAATTAGTACCATAAAGCAATTCGCTAAATATACTTCAGCAAATCATAATTGTTCTTGATAGCTCCTTATAATCTTTAACAATTTTTTTGAAAAAGGTTTTGATATTGCATCTCATAGTTCTAAAGAGGATTTAAGTTATTTTGAACTAATACTCAACTATAACTCTTTTTGTGTTGCACACGAAAAACATAAATCTGAGTTCTTAAAAATTTAGTTGAAATCAAATTAATTCAAAAATTGAATTATCGTAGTATAAATGTTTCGGTTATATTACATTATATTTCGTTACGATTTGCTAAACATAATTTAAGTAAGAAAGATAAGGTCATTTCAAGATGGTGGCTTTATGGTTTTTTTATGATGAAATGAGAATTGGATTCATGTGATAGGAGACATCCCTTAGCCTGAAAAATATATGGTCCTAAAATGAGGATTAAGTGGAACAAAATTGACTAGGTGGTGGAGTCGTAGAAACATCAGTTTCTTCCATATTTTATTATGTTTCTTCCATATTTTAGACATCAAACAACATATTACTATTAAAACATGAAAGAATTCTTTTATCATACTGTGATGTTTTGCATCGCTGAATGGAGCCATTGAAAACAATTAACATGACAAAATTATCAAAGATTGACATTTCTTATTTCTATCCAACAATGTACTAATATTTATGTTTCATTGATTTTGTTTAAGTGATCCTTGAATCTTTGTCTTGGAATAATTCGAATAAAATAAATTAATTATTGGTGCGATCTGATTCATTATTACAGATCATTCTTGAAACTAATGAATCATTTCTTTTTATACTGATATATGAAATATGAGATTTGCGCTAGGTTGTAAATTCAGTGTTGAATATTTCATGGATGATTTGACTAAATTACAATAATAATGCTCCCACATTCTTACACTATTGTTTTTTCTTCTTCCGGAACCCTTTTCTTTTGTCTAAGGCAATATATGAACATTGAGGCACACCAAACAAATGTAATGAACCTCTTTGAAAATTATTCGCCTTACCATATCTACATTTTCTCTTATAAATCAAGATGATTTATATGGCATTGACATTTAAAACCACTTTTTTTTTTTTTTAAAGAAAACAGAAAATTGTCAGAATATTAAAAAACGTAATTCAAAACTACAATTTAAATGATTTAAAGTTTTATAACCAAAACATGTTATATTCATCTTTAGATTTTTTTTTTTTTTTTTTTTTTATATATTCATCTTTAGATTTTTTTTTTTTTTTTTTTTTTTTTTTTAAGTGTACTTAATGGTTTTTCAAATAAAAGTGTAAAAACAAACTCAACAATGGTGAGTTTGAAAAACATCATTTATCAGGATAGTTCGTATATCGGGTTTGTTTGATTTGAATACAATCTAAAGTGATGATTTAAAAAAATTAAAATCAAATCAAACCATTAAAAATTTCAAATCAAATTAGACCTCTTTTAGCGACAGTTTCAATAGAAAATAAATTATTAATACAAACTATTACCATATAATATACATTATTCTAAGTAGTTATTAGAAGTTTTTAAATTAATTTTTTTATATCCAATCAAAATGTTAATTTTTTATATATTAATTTTTAATATGGTATAAAAAAGATTATATATTCAACAAAACCTTAATTAAGCAATTCATTTAACTTTTGATTATTTTTTCCATGAATCTTTAACATTTGAATTTTGTATAAAATAATTATATAATTTATCTAATTAATATCTAATCCCGTAATTTTTTATCTAATATAAATTAATAATACAAAGGAAATTTTCATTAAAAAAGTTATAATGCACACACTTATATAGATAAATAAGGATTTGGTTCAATTTGAGCATTTTTGATTCTAAAATTATAAACCAAACCAAAATCGGTTTGATCAATGTCCCTACTAGTACTACTCATAGCAACAAACTTCAGTTACATATCTGATATCTTCAGCTGGTGTTGCAAAATCAAATTGTTGATGAATTGACTCTCATCGTCGTTCTCCTCTCTGACTGATAAACGTGTCAAGTTGACAGTTTACTATTATTGTCTCTTCATAATTATAGTTATAGAAGGAAACAAAATTGTAGTTACCGTTAATTATCCAAAAGAAAAATCTGAATAGGTATAACTTTTTATAATTTTTTTACAATTTATTTCTAAAATTGAATTTATGAAAATAATTCATTTTTCAAAATCTAAAACAGCCGTACAATTTCATCAAATGCAATCTAAATGAAAATTATTAATTATAATTTCCATTAAATTAAAAGAATCAACAACCTAAACATACATCTCTGTTACAACTATCAACCAACTATTTACAGGACTACCCTTCCCGAAAACTCCATGCACAGCCCTTCTTCAAATCCTTACTTCTTCGCCGCCTTTGATTTCAATCTATTCGATTTCTTCACAGTCTTAGCCGGAGCAGCCTTCATCACCGTCGTCTTCTTTCTAGGCGTGGTTCTGGACGCAGTTTTTGCCACTTTAGCTGGCTTGGCCACTGTCTTTGGCTTAGGCTTAACTGCCGACTTAGCGGCCGCCTTTGGTTTAGCAACAGTTTTTGGTTTTGGCTTTGCTGCTGGCTTAGCCTTCGGCTTAACAGCTGACTTCGGTTTCGCAGCAGCCTTAGGCTTTGGCTTGGCTGCAGCCTTGGCTTTAGGCTTGGCAACCACTTTAGCTGTTTTCGGCTTGGCAACCACTTTAGGGTTAGCAGTTTCAGGCTTCTTAACCGGAGCAGTGCGAGTCGGAGGGAGCTTGTAGGAATTTTTTACTTTGACGAGCTTGCCAGAGGCAACAAGCTTCTTCAATTGCACTGACAACAGCTTTCTAAAATTGGAAGGCAATGTCGTCTCTTTCGCTTCGACGAATTTGGCGATTGCATATTGGCTTGATCCAGTTCTCTCTTTCAGCGTCACAATCGCATCACTGATCATCTATAGAAACATAACAACTTACAATTTCAATCAATCGAATAAAAATTAAAGAGCTAAATTAAGTTTCTATAGAAATACAGTGGAGGTTATACCTCATAGAAAGATGGATACGAGCGAGGAGACTTGGCCTTCTTCGGTGCCGCTGCCTTCTTGGCTTTTGGCTCCTTCGACTTGGCGGCCTTTGTGGCTTCTTTGGGCTTCGACCCCGTCACTTCCGGCGCAGGAGGAGCTGGAACTTCAACATCTGCCATTGAGTTGACTGATCGAGTCGAATTGATATTCGGCGGAAATCGAGATTGAAGGAGAGAGAATGTTCAGTGTATACAGAGAAAATTCCATACGAGTCTCATATAGAGAGAAACGGTAGATTGTGATTGGTGGGGAGTCATTTGACACGGATCGCCATTTTTTGGTAGATTTTAAATTTGGACCGTTGGATTAGAGGGCTTATTTACGGTTGAGAATAAATGCTAGGCTAAGGGGTGGATTAGGATGTTGAAAGAATATGGGTGATTTGAGGTTTTCGCTGTGCTTTTGAGTTGATTTGTAGTTCATGTAACTTAAGTTGTAGCCAATGGATTTTAATAAAATTTAGTTTATTTTGTAGATTAAGACCTCAGCTTTCCATTGAGCTCTGTTTCAGGCTGTTTAGTGAAGGGAAGTAGGAGAATTTTTGATTTGAATAAGAATTGGTCAAGATTAGGGTTTTCCATGAGTTAGCTTGAGTTTTGAGGGATTTTTGTAAAATTCTTGGGATTAAATTGTGATATTTTGATCATATGTGATTGTAGCATTGTAAAGGAGTTGATTGGTTCAAGAATCATGAAATTTGATTTAGAAAAAGGTATTGAAATGTTGATTAGGAAGTGCCTCAAGTTGGACAGGCTCCATGGATGTACATAGTTTGTCGTTAAACATGGGACAAGTGTTGAGATTTTCTTGTAAATTACTTTGAAGTGCTAAGATTCAGGTGAGTTGATAAAAATGTTGCAATGCATTAATAATTTTTAGCAAATTAAATGTAATTATTTATATATAAGAATGCAAAATATAAGTGATTATGTATACGTGGAAAAAAAAGATAAATATGTGTTTCGTCGTATTGTATATTCACGTCAGAATTTGAAATTTAAACATGTTTCAAATCACATTTATCTTGGATGATTCTTGTTGGATAGCTAACCAAATTAATGTCATGTTGCATATAATTAATTTTAAGAGGTTAAAATATAATTAGATGTAGATGCCGGTTCACCTATTAAATTAATTAGTTTATTTAAGGGTTAAGAGGCACATTTTCAAACCTAGAGCAATTGTAATTTTGTTGCTTCTTTAACACCAATATATATAGGATTCATCAAGGCTTGGTTTGGATTTTTAAACATCAACATAGTCTTGATAATATTTAATAACTTAATTCAAAAGTACATATGATACCGTCAATATATATTATGATAGACTCGTTACCAATAACAGAATCAAGTATTACTCAATCATTTCAAAATTAACATTGATTATATATTTAAAACCCGAGATTTTCGCTCGATAATTATTTTCTTATCTCCTGCTCGAACAAAGACAACTAGCGGTTACTATTTCTATAAATGCTTATACAAAATGCTTCATAAATACAATTCTACAATCTCTTATTCTCTAATTCAAATACTGTTCTTGATTTAATATTCTCGTTACTATCAGTATATTACCTCTAACTTAGTTATTTGCACCATGATTGGAGATGAACTTGCAATCAAATTTACAAGATCGGTGTCAAAATAGCACATCTATGACTCTAAATAGGCCTAACTCTACCAAGCCCACAATATGCATTAATAAATTATAATTAGTATAGCTTATATATGGGCTGAGATCAGTATTTTTATTACTCTGGATAGAATTAAGTCCAAGACCAAACACCAACTTTCCTTCTCTTTTTTAAAGGGCTCGAACGGGCTCCGTCAGGTTCTCAATTCAATAGAATTTTTCTCCTGGTCGTCAAACGGCAGGACGTTCTAGTTGGGAACATCCAGAACAGAGCATTCATTTATGGAATACGACATAGTGAACGGACTCCACGTTAAAAGGCCAAAGAGGCTTTCGAGTTTCGATACATAGGCTATAATTTGGTGGTTTTATATTATTCTTTTACTATTAAATTCGTATATCTTAATTTTCAGATATTCTATAAAATATATGAAGATCACGTTTGGAATAAATGAATCCCATAAAATTTTATGGAATTCATTTGGAAATCTAAAATGTTATGTTTGGAATGAAAAAAAAAAATACAAATTTAAATTCTATGAAATTTAGTATGCCTAACTCAAATTTTACTTATAGAATTTGTAAATAAATTTCACAAAATTAACAATTAAAATGCTTATTGACAAAATTACCCTTCCACTATAAACTCAACTATTTTTACTTTTATTTGTTTATTTTCTTTGAAAAATTTCAAATTATAACAACATTATTTTTTTTAATCCAATAACGACATTATTTTTCCTTTTTTTTTTTTTTTGAAATTTCAAACTAGTAATGACTTTTTTTTTTTCTTTTTGAAGTCTAGTAATAACGTTAGTTATTATTACTGTGAAACTATAAAAATTGAGCATCAACAATTTTTTTCAAATACAATTAAAAACATTAATAACATTCTTAATATCTTTTTAGTTTTGAAATTAATTACTTAAATCAGCAGATTATAGGATGGAACTTAGGATGTTACTATTTATATGAAATTATTATTTATATTTTAATTAAAAGAAAATGACACAGTTATTCATATTATTACATTAAATTATAATCGAGTGCTTTGTATTTATATTTTGTTAGAATTATTATGCCATAGCGATTAGCTATAAGAAATTAAAGCAAATAAAAATTTTCATCGATAAGCGTGGAATATTAGTGTACTTATTTATATGAAATTTATTATTTATATTTTAATAAAAAAATGACAAGTTATTATATTATACATAATAAATATAATCAGTGCTTATTATTTATTTTTGTTAAATTATTATGCCAAGCGTGTTATAAGAAATAAAGACAAATAAATTTTCATTTAACAATTTATTCTAAATATAACTTTGTGAAATTTAATTGAATTCCTATTTTAAATTATAACATACCAAACATAATAGATTTATTTTCAAATGAATTCTATAGTCATAATTCATTTGTTCCAAACGGGCTAAAAAAAGTGAAAATCGGTTTGGATTTTTTTTTTTCATCATCGAATCTTCATTAATTTACCGAGTAGTATTTAAAGAGAGATCTACCTTTGCCATATCGTTGTTGGAGTTTATTTAGCCTCCCTTGAATTAAAAAAAAAAAAAAAAGAAAATGTCCTGAAAGGCCAGACTTTGACAATTGCTAATGCCTTCTTCAAAATCAATAACAGATTACAGTTATGGGTGTAAACCAATCAAGTCGTCATTATTGAAATTCAACTCAATTAGAAAATTCAATACCCAAATCTTCACTCAAAATTTAATTTCGATTACAAGTTCAAAACATCGGAGTTTGACATAAACACAACCCCCTTAATATAGTAACTCCATTTTTCTGTCCACAGCCCCTCCAATTTTACTGTTCTGTGTTTCAATTTTCAACCAAATCATGGGTGATAAGAGATGAAGATGGCACTTAAATAGTGGGCCACTAGGCAAGCTATTTTCTCACAGTTGAAGCCTATTAATAGAATTAGAATGGGTAACAACACAAGAGTTGAACTTGAAGTGGACAAGAGAACAAAAGCTTAGTTTCATATTAGTTGGCCTACATTAGGGGTAGACTATGGCAGAGGGCTTTCTATTCCTTCTAAAGAAGCACATGCCTAAACTAAGCAAATGCTTCCAATTTTCAGTAATTGGTAGAAAATGCATTTTTAACTAGATGAGTGCATTGCCATGACGCTTAATATTTCCTTTAACAGAATAGGGGGCTTACAAAGAATGATGCCTTGATAAAGATCTTTACACAATTTTCAAAATAAATGTATACATAACAAAGTGAGATTCAAATTTCACGCTATAGGTATTGCATTCAGTAAGGAAAGTTAAACTAAAAGATACTAATAATAATTCAATATATAAGGAAGCACAAGTTTACAATTTTTAATTTGATGCCTGTTCTATATAGGAGTAGCTCAAACTCAATGACTAACCTTTTTCAACTGATCATATATCTAATTCAGTATATCATGAGTTTGAACTGAATATTTTATATACAGTAGTAATTCACAAATAACCATTTGGAAATTTGAGTTCTTGAAATAAGTTTCAATCAAGATTACTGCTTTCGTTTCATGTATGGGCAGATTGTGATGAGAGCAATCTGGAATGATTATGCTCACCTTCATAAGTGACAATTAGCATTGAAGAATCTTCTAGGCATCTCTCTACATGCTTTCTTGCTGGGCAACCTCTTAGGCTGCTACATTTATAGTATCCCCTGCATTACAATTGTTTTAAAGAGAACCAAACAAATAAGCAATGTTGTACAAAAAAGCTCTACTTCTTTCTACAAGATTTCTAAATTTAGTTTGAGCAATTAAGCAACTACTTAAGGTAGAAAACTCGTGATCAAAATATTGATATAAAATAGGAACAATCTTAGGACATGAAATTAAGACATAAGTGCATGTCATAATGAAGCTTTAATTGAATATATTTACCTAGGATGTGGAGAGCCTTTAATTGGCTTTTGGCCATATTTCCTCCATGAATACTCATCAGGAGGAATATCTGCCACCTTGTTACTAATAGCAGGCACCTTTATGGATCTCTTCACCCTTAGTTTCCTACCAACCAAAAGAGAAAGAGAACCAATTTAGAACAGAAGAAACATAATACTCCATAATCTGAGAATGGCATAAATGTTTGATCTCTGACCTTCTCTTTGAACAGTGACATTTACCGGTGCTTCCACATTTAACACTACCATCTTCACCTCTACCAGAACACCTTCTTCTTGTCTGTTGTGAGATTTGATCAGATGACTGAGGCACACCAATCAAATGAAATGAATCTCCATCAAAATTACCATCCATGCTTAAAGATGATATAAATGATCTTGTTGATGACACGGTTGGTGTGCAAGTGGAACCATCAAATTTAAGGTTAATTCCACTATTACTCCTAGAATAGATCATATCAGCTTGATATTTCATTTGTTGTTGCTGTTGAAATTGCATCCTCTGTATTTGCTGCTGTTGTTGAAGAAATTGGTACTGTTGTGATGGCTTAATTTGGGCAATTTGAAGAGGAGGCCTAACATTTGAGTTCATTTCAAGAACTGGATTTTCAAGAAACATTTTCTTTGAAGGGTGTAAGCAAGATGTAGTCTTGGAATCAATTTCAGGAAGTGGGGTTTCAAGAAAATTAGCAGGCACCATTTGGAGAGGCTTTGGTGCCAAAATTGTTTTGCAATTAGGGCTATCAAGGAAGATATTTTGAGGCAAAGATGATCTGAACTTGTTTAATTTTCTCACTCTTCCATGACCTAAACTAGTGCCTAAAAGAGACACAACTCTTTTAAATTTAGACACAGTCTCTCCTGTTTCAATCAGCAAATTCCTACACTGAACTTGATCTCTCGATTGACATAGGAGGTCAATAACTCTATGGCAGCTCTCAATAGCTGCCTTATTTGCCTCCTCAATCTCCTCCATGCTTAAACCCAAAACTCAATAAACCAAAACCTCAATTGCTAAGCCCTTAAGCCCTCAATAACAAGGACATCATTAGAATAGCTCAAAATGCCCAAGTGGGTAATTGAGTAATCAAAATGTTCTTGACAAAAACAATCAAAGAGAGGCTTAAAGGCTCCATGCTGAAATAAAAACACTAATAAGATGAAACTTACTTATTTCTTTTAAAACAATCTTCAATGGCTTCTCTTACGAATGAACTCAAACCAAGAAAGAAAAAAAGAAAAAACAAGAAACAACGACAAAAAACAAACCTTGTTAAAGTTGATCGATGAGATCATATAAAGAAAGACCGCATAATACCATAGTGTGAAAGAGAAGACTCGAGCTCTCTTTCTTTCTAGGATTTGTTAAGATGACCCAAAAGAAAACAAAGTCTCTCTTTAACTCGAAAACAACATAAACATATGAAAATTTAAAAAACAAGAAAACAAAAGTAAAAGAATCCAACAGAGAGAGAGATAGAAGTTGCTCTGTTCAATATCAGAGAGATACAAAACAAATTTAATAGAGAAAGAAACAATGAAACAGACGTCTCTGTCAAAGATCCTATGATGGGTCCCACCAAAAGACACAGTTATACTTGCTTTAATTTTGCCTTTTCTTAACTTTACTTTTAATATAAAATAAAAAATAATTCATAGGATTGGTTTGATACTTTGTCAAAATGTCTGCCAAAGGTGGGCCCAAAATTCCACTCTGGACAGGGGACATCCCAAGATAGCCGTTGGAAAATGGAGGGATAAGATTGATGCCACGTAGATAAGGCAATTGACACTTGTCCCAAGAAAATTGTTGTCTGTGCCTGTGCGTATTTACCAGTAAAAATTAGGGTTTGTGGGTGGGGCCATTTTCAGAACACAGTTGACCTCAACAGAGATTCCAATTCCTAATTTGTAGCTGTTGCTGCTGAAGTGATAGCTTTGCCCTAAAAATCAATCAATGGGACATTATTGGATATTTCGGTTTCAAGAAATGAATTTGGCTTCTGCACTATAACTATATTGCTTCTGTCCCTAACTCTTCATATTTAATAATTTTTTAGTGACCAAAGATCTTCACTTTGGATAATAATAACAAAAAGAGTCATTTAGTATGATCAAATTTCCTAAATCTTAGTAATTATCTTAACCTAATGATTTAAATTACCAATAACTTTATATAATTGATCAATTAGCTAATTGTTATTGAAATCAGATATTTGTTTTAATTTTTTTCCACGATAACTAAGAAGAGTTTGGAGATTGTTGGGTAAAAATTTATTGTTAGATATTAAAAAAAAATGTATAAAAAAGATAAAATTTTAGTAGCTGCCTAGTGATGATCAATATTGATAATTACCAATGACCAATTAAATAATAAATATATATTTATGAGATTATAATAAATTTATGAGGATATCATTTTTTTTAGAGTTATTTAGTTTTTCTTTTTGACGCAACTTCGTCAGCATTAACATTGAGCTGCCTTATTTATAATAATGGAAAAAAAATGAGTAATATTTACCGAAAGCTCATTAGTCCAAAATAACATAATTGACTAGATAATAAAAGATGAGTTGAAATAATATGATAGACTGCAAAAGAAAATATAGTATTGTCTTGACTCACCAAAATGAAAACTCTTATATTTAATAGGAATCCGAACTTAAAATCTCAAACTCATCACACCAATGAGAAGACTAACCGACAAAAGAGTAGAAATTTAACTTAATATTAACACAAATTTCATCATTTTTTTTATTTACAATTGTCATATTCCTAACTACAATCAACCTCAAAAACTCAATTGTGGCTTCCAATTGTATCCCAACTAATGTTGCATCAAAAGGTTCTTGCCCTAATGTTATTAGGCTATCCTTGGTTCTATTCTACATTAGCTATAACAATAGCTTTCAGCGAGCAAAGTATGAGTTTTCCCCAATAAAATTCAATTAAAAATAGAGCCTAGAGGAAGCAAACAAAAATTGTATCATTTGCAAATCACAATATGTAAAACTATATAATCATTGGATGCTATTCCCATTACTCAAGAACTAATCTCCCTAGCAAAATGTAGAAATTCACTCAAATTTAAGTTGAATGCCTGAAAAATATTATTAATAAGGTCATTTTATGAGTATCAAATAAATTGAATTTAAAAATTTAATAGTGGAGTACCCATGTATATGATATATATATATATATTTAATTTGTTAAAAAATTCTCTAAAAAAATCATTAAATTCTTTATTCCATGTTATCTGTACAAAGATCTCGAAACTTTCTTATAACCTATTAAGATTAATGAGCTTGAATTTTTAATATGATATCAAAGCCGCATGTAAAGATAAACCATAAAAAAATTTTGCTTTTTTTCTTTTTCTTTTTGTTTTGCCTAAATGATTTAAAAATAAATAAAGTCATTTCAAATTTCAACCATGAGCCTCTCTCTAGCTTTCTTTTCTCTGCCAAAAAAAAAAAAAAAAAAAAAGATAAACCATTAAAAAAATTTTGGCTTTTTTTTCTTTTTCCTTTTTTGTTTTTGCCTAAATGATTTTAAAATAAATAAAGTCATTTTCAAATTTTCAAACCATGAGCCTTCTCTCTAGCTTTCTTTTTCTACTGCCAAAAAAAAAAAAAAAAAAGATTGCAAAAAAAAAAAAAAAAAAAAAAGATGGCAACTTGCTGATACATAAATTGGATTCTAGTTTCAAGGATCCATCATAAAAGGCCAAGGTCATGGCTCTTTATGGTGACACAAGCTCTTATTTTGTTTTTGTTTCTCTTTTTAATTTTATATTATTATTTTATTTATTTATTGTTCTTCTTATTTGATGAATTCTTCAATTTTAAATAGTAAATTCCTTTTTATTTATAATTTGTCACTTTAATTGTTTTAAGGGCTTATAACCAATTTGATATAAATTATTATTAAGTATAAATTAAAATTAGGATTAGATTCAATATATATAGGATGTTGGCAGCACTTTTAATGTGACAGTTGGCTTGTTATTAAAGGCTTAGCTCTTAATCCATCATTATCACTAAGGCAATAGACCTAAAAGGCTAAAACCTTAATTTGTATTCTCAAATGGACTCTTCAACATTTCATATTTAATTATTTGTCCAATTATATGTTCCTAATTTGGAAATCTATACAACCTTTAATCATTCTCCCCACTAAACAATGACAATTGGTCTATGATAACTTTGTCATTGTCCATTTAATTTTTTTTAAAAAAACTCATATAATGATTTTATAATAATCTACATTTTATTATATTAAAGAATTGTGAATCTCCAGTGGAAGAGGATCAAGTTGGCCCTTGCGAACAGCTTGATGTACTATTTCCCTTCAACCCTTTAGCGAAATATGATAAAAGAAAAGAAAATTCATAGACTGATTCATTCTGATTTATCCACTGGATCAATCTAATTGGTTATTTACGCCTAGTTTTAGCGTAACAATTATTATTTTTTAACTTTGATAGACTTTTATGACCAAAACCCATGTTATTAAATTCCTTTATAAGACATAAAATACAAAGAAATTAGTAACAAAATGATCATAGTCATTTCACATGTCACACATGGTCCTATAAGAGAAGCACATCATCAATTATACAAAAGGAAAATGACATATTTCTGCACTAATAATTCAATATGAAATGTTTGCCTGACTTAGAGATTAGGCAATTGATGACCAGAATTTCCACTAGACTATAGTAAGACTCGATGGAAATTCTTTCCAGTCATGTCTTGTTCATATATAATTTTTTATGTGCTAATATTCTAATCCAATTGTTCAGATTCTAGAAATCCACCGATCAATTCTACAAGTACCCAATACGCAACTAATTAGTGAATTTTTTACAATAATTTCTCATACTTGTCAAAGACTATATTAGATTTTCTTTCTCTAATAATAATTAAACAAAAGAAAGAAAGAATCAGTAGATAAGATTTTATATGTATATACACATAAACAAAGATAAGAATGACTGTCTTTTTTTTTTTTATTCTTTGTTACAAAATGGAGAGGACAAAGCCCTCTATACACAGTCTAGTATGAGCCAAACCCACTGTTGGATAATTCTGGAGGAATTTCCATGGCGGAATTAGCGAATCAATCCACACAACTATTAGCTTTACATGAATAGTTGTAACGAGCTCGCAGTCTTTGTGGCCATTTATATACATATCCTTCTTTTTTCTTCTTTTTTTTTTACAATTAGGTTTTGTAATTTGACTATGTAATTAATACAAAGTATTCAAGATTTGCTATGAATTTAAACAATCTGCCCACTCTAAAAATACAAACAACAAAACAATATATCACCCTCTCTTAAACAATTAATCAAGAACTAGAACTAGCTTTTAGATTCTTGAATTTCATTAATTAATTACTTTTTATGTAACAACATTAATTAATTAATTTACCTAGAAAAAAAGAATCTTAATCACCTCCCTTCTTGAATGACAATATGAGGAAAGATTTCACTAGATCCACCAGAACTGATAGTTTGTTGATGGTGATCAACTTTAGAATTTTCTTGTAATTGCAAAGCAAATTCAAGATTCCATAAGACATCACCCATAGACGGGCGATTAATTGATTCATCATCCAAACATTTCACAGCAGTTTCTACGAATTTCTCTAGGCATTGAGGTTTAATTTTAGGTTTGATATAAGGATCAATTATGCTTTCAACAACTCCTCGTTTTTCGCATTGACGAGCCCAATCTGCAAGACTGAGTTGTTCTTTAGGAAGGGAAGAATCCAAAGGAGGTCTCGCACATAATACCTCAAATAGCACAACCCCAAATGAGAATACATCAGATTTTTCAGTTAACTGTTGTGTTCTGAAATATTCAGGATCTAAGTAACCAAAACTACCTTTAACCACAGTACTAACATGACCCTTGTCTAGATTGGGACCGGTTTTGCATAACCCGAAATCAGAAACCTTAGCCACCCAATTTTCGTTTAAGAGAATATTTGTTGTCTTAACATCTCTATGTATGATTGTATACTTGGCTCCTGTATGAAGGTAATGAAGTCCTCTTGCAGCTCCAATGCAGATTTCTAGCCTTTGCTTCCAGGAAAGTTTAGGTCTATTAGTATTGTATAAATGCTCTCTCAAAGTCCCAAGTTCCATATAGTCATAAACCAAACACATTTCCTCATTTTCTTCACAAAAACCAATCAATGAGACTAAATGCTTATGTCTCAATTTGGAAAGCATCTCTATCTCTGTTCGAAACTCATTAACTCCTTGTTCTGATTGTGGGTTTGATTTTTTAATAGCAACTTTCATGTTCTTATCAATAACACCTTTATAAACCTTCCCAAAACCTCCAACACCGATAACATTACGCTCCTGGAAGTCTTCAGTCGCCTTTTTCATGTCGAGTACAGAAAAATGGCGACAAAGGCCCTGAGTTATACTTGAAAGGTTGCTGTTAGTAGTAGTACTAGTCTTGCTTGTAGTATTAGTATGAGAGGTATTAATTTTAATCGGTAACCAACTAGATGTATGCTGTTGGGTGGCACTAACTTTATTTTGCCTTTTGTAGACAGCAACATATATTGCAGCCACTAAACAGACGCCTGCAGCTCCTCCAGCTGCACTTTCAATCACAACTTTATGACTACTATTTGCATCAAAACCACTTTTAGCTTCTGATAAGTCGTGGGCAAGCATTTCTGATAGTTCAGGATTAGGGCCTGCCAAGTTATTTCTTTTATCACTCATTTTAAATATTTCTAACCCGTTAAGCCAGGCATCATAAATTTCAGGCTTTTGCAATTCTGATGGATGCAAATCTAACTGAATATGACCATCTTCTTTCAAATCTGGCACCAATACCATATAATCTTTATAAGTAGGTTGTCCAACATGTCCTCCTGTCCAACCAAGTATATCAGCAGGCGAAGGGTCTGCTTGCGCGCTTTGATTATTTAGGTAAATGTTAAAGGACCTTTGGTTAACTCTGGTTAATTCAAACTCACAGAAATGTAACCTGACAATATATATGAAACCTGGATCAACCTGAAATAACCATGTCAGATTGAAATTTAAGTTTATATTTGAATCGAGTCCCATACTTCTTGCTGTAGTGTAAACAACTGCAGGAGCTGCTTCTTCTGGTAAATGTGCATAGTGTATTTCAACACTTTTATTTGCCTCTGAAGTTATCCCCATTGCAGCACTAAATATATAAGGTGAATCGTCGTACCAAGTTCTTGAAAGCCCAGCAGAATCTTTGCTTGGTGCTATATATTGCCCTCCAACGTTTAATCTATACATGGTTTCCAAATCAGCATTCTTTGCATCAATTATCAGACCTGAAAATCCTACCATCTGCCCTGGCCCGAAAAGGTCATGCTGGATCGGTACTAATTCAATACCGTTGATAAATGCAAAAGAATCTTTAACCTTGTCCGACGGCTTAAAAGTGATGTTAAGTGTATTAGCTTCAATCGGAGATAGAGAATATTCTTTAATAATGTAAGAATATGAAAGGGCTTGAGCTGTTATTGGAGCGCTAAAATTGTTCAATAGAGTAACTCCTTCTGCTACAGCAGAGAAATAGGAGTTTTGGATATTGAAAGTATTATATTCTGCTGGATAAAAGTAAAGCCTGAGAAAATACCGGGTTTTTGGCTTAACAGGTAATTTATAGGTTGCTTCAGATGTGAATATTCTAGCAACCATGAATGGAATATCAGAAGCAATTGTAGAATCTTGAGTTCGAGCTTTTGCATTTGGATGATTGCCCGAGATGTATTTAGTATCTGGTTCCCATATTTGCCCGTCAGCATCTGCTCCTCCCTTTTCTGTGCCACAGGTCAAGAAAAAAGACTGGGCTGTGTCTGCAATCGATACATTGTGAAGGACATAAAAAAAAGCTAGAAAAAGAAATATATGGGTATTGGTGTACATGATTGAAAAAGAAGGACAAGAATTTGGCGTACAGGAAAACTAATAAAGATTTTCTCAAGGAAAAAGAGAAAGAAGGTTTTCCTGTACGCCTTTAGATTTTCTTCTTCTTTTTCTTGCGTTTATAAATGGGATTTTAGCTTAATTTTCATCATCCATGGAGACTCATGCCTGGATTAGAGGAACTAATCCAGGCAAGAAAAGATGGAGACTTTTTTTGTTTTTTAACTTCTATATTTTTTTTTTTCAGGATTTCTTTCTTTTCTTTTCTCTTCTTTTCTTTTTCTTTTTCTTTTCTCTTCTTCAGAACTCTAGGTTGTTCAAATTGGTTGGCAGTTGGAACTCGATGTAGGAGAGGAAAAATCGCAAATTTCGAAATTTGGTTGGTTCTGATGGATTTAGATTTCCATTGACAGCTAAACTTAGCATATAGCAAGGAAAGGAAAAAAAGAAATTTTCTACGTAGGTTGCAACTTGTGAGAATTTCTAACCAAAAAAGAATATAGTTGATTAAAGATTTAATTCGAAATAAAAATTAAATAAGAATATTATTATTATTAGTTCAAGTGTTCAATTCGAAATAAAAATACATTTCTGTAAGATTTATATCAAAGTAAATAACAGAACAAAATATTTAAAATTAATTTAACTAAAATTCGGAATGAATATAGCAATATCAAAATTTAAACTATAATTATTATTATTATTTTTGATTTCTTAGCAAATTGCACAACTAGCGCCAAAATTAACATGGTGGAAGTTAGAAATGAGTGGTCGTAACAGCAAAAACACCGCCCAATGAATTGGCGCGACCACCGCACACCTCTCTCCTCCACCACTTACATTAAAGCCCTAAACACCACCTCTAGCATCTGCTGGTCGGGGTGCTGTCATAGCTTCCTAACATAGCAATAAAAAAAATAATAATAATTTAGTTTTTTTATTTTTTTTAAATTAAAAATTTATATATACCTTTCTCCTCATTTTCAAATATTACTTTTCATATATACAACACCCCGCTCCCATCCAACACTTCTCCACCACCACAGTTAGAGGCGGCGCGACGGCTCTTTCCATCTCCGCCGCCGACGCCGCCTAATCATTCCATTTCTTAAACCGAATTCCTTGTTTTCTTTCTTTCTAGGATGAGAGATCTTGAGCCAATGGCAAAAAATTTGTATTTGTCATCCTCCTCATCATCGCCATCATTGTGCGGATCAGAATCGGAGGAGTTGAAGAGAATGCCATTGGCGCCTACCGCGATGTTGAAGAATAAGAAGCGGTTATCGAAACAGCTGTCAATGTGCGAGACTCGAAGGGACATTGCTTGGGAAAAGAGGAGGCGTCAGATTCTGATGCAAGAAAGGAGAAAGAATGGAATTCCTGATTCCGATGATTTGACCGACGAAGACATGAATGAGCTTAAGGGATGTATAGAACTCGGGTTTGGATTCAATGAAGAAGAAGGGCAACGATTGTGCAATACGTTGCCGGCTTTGGATCTTTATTTTGCTGTAAATAGAGGGCTTTCGCCTAGCCCAGTATCCACGCCGCAGCGGAAGTCCACATCGTCGTTAGGCAGGAGGTCGTCGTCGTTTGGCAGCCCCACCAGCGAATCAGATTGGAAAATATGCAGCCCAGGTACGTAAAGCTTCCATATGATCAACATGAATTACATATGATATTAACGGAAATTATGAAAGCACTTATTAAAACGATAGATGATTAACAACGTATTATATATAGGAAAAAACTGATCCAAACCAATCTAAACAAATTTAAATTCTTGTTTTTGAATATAAACTTTCAAAAATTGAATTATTTTACAAATTGGAGCTCAAAATCATCAAACTCAAACTGAATAATATATATATTTTACAAATTGGACTCCAAAAATCATTCAAAAACTTTCAAACTTGAATAATTATATATATATAAATTATATATATATATTAATTGTATAATTTTCTGTTAGCTCATTAATTCATCCACTTATAAGAAAATGATTAAAAAAACCTATTGCATTCATAGATTTGAATGTCTTTCAAAATTTTATCCTTTTGAATTCTTTAAAAACCGATATATATCGTTGTACCTGAAAGATTGCGAATTAAATTAATTTGAAAAGTTGTTGATGCAGGGGATGATCCTCAACATGTGAAGACGAAGTTGAGGCACTGGGCCCAGGCCGTGGCATGTTCAGTATTGCAGTCTTATTGATCAAAGTGTGGGATTGGCTTGTACTTGTACAGAAACAAAACTCAACTCATGTTCGTGGACAAGAAATTAATTAGGGTTTCATTTAGTCGGTCTGGCTGATTGGATTTTCTTGTCAACTTTGGTTAAATGGTTTTTGAGTTCAATTCCCTTTTTTTTTTTTTTTCATCCAAGTTTCCTTCGGGGGCAGAGCAATAATTGTAACCTATTTTGCCTCTTTTTCACTTGGAAATTTCCAATTGATGGGGTTTTACCATTTTTTTTACTGGTCGAGTCGTATTCGACAAATTACATTACCATCAGTTTTTAGATACATATAAATAATGTAATCCTAATCCAACTCCTTCATCATTTATGTTCCTTCAATTGCCTCTCTATCTCCCTTTTTAACTTCTCCAATTGCTCATCATCTTAAATTTATTTATAAGGTCATATGCAGTATTAAATTTACATGTACTGTATAGTCAAAACATACATTTCGTATCATCTAAATTAACAAATATTTATTACTTAATTAATATTCACGGTGTAATTTCTTTTATTTTTATTTTGGAAATAGAAAGATAGTCAAATATAATATAGCGTACATGACTAATTTTTGATTAATTAAAAGACCCAAGGGGCTCAAAGAACTAAATGTAAGGTTTGTTCAAAAGTTTGTAGTGATGGTACATATCTGATAGCAATTATTGATAAATGTCGTTTGGTAAAATTTTGACAGAGATTAGCAGTTAAAATGTAAAATATCCATTTTTAATATAATTGTTTGTATATATTGTAATGTATAATGTTTATATGTATATATATATTTTTTAATGTGATGTAAAAATCTTTGTTTTTTTCATTTTAAGGCATTGTATAGATATAAATAACTCTCAATTTACTTCGGTATTTTGATACATATTTTATGATAATAATTCATAAATGAATAAAATTTCTCAAAAAAATTTATAAATAAAAAAATAAAATAACTATAATATATATGGAAAAGATTCGGACAGTAAAAAAAAAAAAAAAAAAAACCAGTATAAAAAAAAAAAAAAAAAAAGTAACAATGATAAATAATACATAATCATAAAATCAAACACTTTGCCAAAAAGTTTTCTTTTCCAAAAAAAAAAAAAAAAAAAAGTAACAATGATAATAATACATAATCATAAATCAACATTTGCCAAAAAGTTCTTTTCCTAATAAATGAATATCTGAAAAAGAAAAAAAAAAAAAACGAAATTTGCGCTAATTAAACCCTGCATCTCCGTATAAAAACCCCAGAAACTTCTGCTTCTTGTCTGGTCGAGTCACCCCTTTCATCATCGAGTAGATACGGTCTACAGACATCAGATTCTCTCTTTTCCAACTGAAACCTGCAAAAGGCCTTCGTTAGGGTTTTACTTTCTCTGTAACTATGGCCTCTGATGCTAACGACGCTCTTGCAGGTCAGTCAGTTTCATCTATCACAGTTCTTTTTTACATAAATACTTTCACAATTTAATTTTGTAACGTTTTGATTGCGGTTGCAGTGAGACAGAAAGTTCAACAGTTTCTTACTGCTGCTTGTACTGGGAATCTTGATCTTCTTAAGAGTAACTGCTGTTCTTATCTTTTGTTATTCTATTTTTATTATTTTTTGAGTTGATAAGATAATTTAGTTATTTGGCATTTGTTTAAAATAGGAGTAGCAGCACAGCTTGATGATGGGAAAGGAATGGCAAAAACAGTGGCCGATATTAAAGATGCTAACAAACGAGGGGCGCTTCATTTTGCAGCCAGGGAAGGAAAAACTGAGATATGCAAATACTTACTGGAGGATTTGAAGCTTGACGTGGATACAAAGGATGATGATGGTATGCATTTAATATCCGAATTCTCTTCTTGTGATTGTTTAATGCAGTTCTTCATTTTATTTTTAAGAACTTCCTGATTTTGTTGTTTTTCCCCATAATTACCAACTCGATGTCCATTGTTGCTTTGCGTCAAATTAAAATTAACAAATATGCACTAAGAAGATCAGCTTCAGCTATTAATATTTTATTGGCCTGGTAGCCAAATTTCTTTTTGTTTTTATTTTTATTTATTTATTTATTTATTTATTTATTTTGCTGAATTTTGGAACCTTGTTTTATAACATGCTGTTATGGTTTACAAGCTATGACGCATGGAAATTCTCAGCCATGGGCGTTTTCGAGTGTCCATTTCCCCTTATAAAAGACTATTTTCCTGTGTAAAATTATAGTTAAAATGTCATTTCCCTGTTATTGTTTCTGCTTTCTGTGTGCAACATACAAGGTGTTCAGGACTTGAACGGCATGTAGTCTCTCTTAGTCCAGGTTCTCTGGTTATTTGTGCAATCTTGTTTGATGTATTTTTGTGGGATTTATTGCTTATACAATAGGTGAGACTCCTCTTCTGCATGCTGCTAGACAAGGACATACTGCAACTGCAAAATACCTTATTGAGCATGGTGCCAATCCTGCTACACCAAGTGATTTGGGTGCCACTGTTTTGCATCATTCTGCAGGGATAGGTATTTCTAATCGCTTCCTGTTTATTTGTGGTTGAAGTGGACAATTATAGAGTATTTGTAGTGTGTATGCGGCTTGCATATTCTCCCTGATTATTTGCAAATATAGTTATAAAATATATCATTTTTATTCTTAGATTCATTTAGCAATCCGATAAAATTATTCTTAATCATATTGTGCTTTGTCACAGGAAATATTGAGTTACTAAAGTATTTACTCTCCAAGGATGTTGAGGTTGATTCGCAGAGTGATGCTGGCACTCCACTGATTTGGGCTGCTGGCCATGCTCAGCATGATGCTTTGAAAGTTTTGTTAGAGCACAATGCTAATGTAATTTTCCTCCTTTTCCTTTTTCCTTTCTACGTTAATTAGCATCATTATAATGAATGCCAAAATGCTTCCTTTTGTGTGTTTTTATTAAAATATGAGAATGTGTTTTTATAGTGTTTCTTTTCTTATATTATTTTGTTTTCTTTTGCAGCCTAATGCTGAAACTGAAGACAGTGTAACTCCAGTGTTGTCAGCTGTTGCTGCTGATTCATTAGCATGTTTAGAATCTTTAACTCAGGTATTCCATTTGGTCTTTTAACTTGTGAGAGGATGTTTTTTCAACAGTGGTGCATTCTAAGCTTCTAGGGAAAGATATATGCTTGGAATTTAAATTGAAAAAGGAAGGGGTAATATTTGTTCTCATTATTAAAAAAGAGTTATAAAATGGAAAATTGATGCTTGACGCTGCTTTTTTTTTTTTTTTTTTTTTTTTTTTTTTAAAGAGATGTTATAAAATGGAAAATTGAATGCTTGACGCCTGCTTTTTTTTTATTTTTTTTTTTTTGTTTTTCTCTCTCTTGCATGGAGGGTAGCATGAAATCCCGCCCATGTCGAATTGTGATTCGCCGAATATTGATGGCTTCGGCACCTTTTTAGGTTTCATCTATCTTTGTTATTGCAAATTATCAGATCATCAGTTTTTGTTTTAAAATTTTTTTTTTTTTTTTTTTTTTTTTTTCTCTCTCTTGATGGGAGGGTGGTCATGAAATCCCGTGTCGAATTGTGATCCCGAATATGATGCTTCGGCACCTTTAGGGTTTCATGCTATCTTTGTTATTGAAATTATCAGATCATCAGTTTTTGTTTTAAAAGGTAGGTTTCTTTTTAAAGTATTCTAAAATTAAGTAAATTGGATAATGCATAGTTCATTTATATCTTTTGCATTTATATTTACCTTTTCCTTTATTAAAATCATTAAAAGAGGTAGCTGTTAGGTTTTTAATTTATGATGCTAGAAAATATATCATTGTTTTGCCAAATTTAACCTTTAGATCACTTGTCTTTTAATGCAGTCTGATTCTTTCAATTTTTTTCCTTAATTAAATCTTTGTGAAGCATCAAATGCTCCCTCTTCACTAGCACCATAGACAAATCATTGGCATTATCGCTCGGTTAACATTCTCAAAACATCATAACACCTTCGTTTGACACCGATTTTATGTCCTAATCGGATCTTGTTTTTTAGTTTGTATTTGCAGTTCTTGTTCTTTTTTCTTTCTTTGAAACGCGGAAACACTTACATTTAATAATAAAAAAAAAGTTGAAAAGTCCATAACAATAAACATAAGAACAATGTAAAATCCATTCAAAGCTCATGATCTTTCAATCTTCAACTTCGGCAGCAATATCAACTTCTCTCTTTTGATAGTTTTCTCAAGGCAAGAGTTAATTTCTTACTTGCAGATCTTTATTTTTGCAATAACATGAATTAATGCTTCACAATGGAATCAGCATTGGGGGTAATTTTGGTAAAATAATTCTGTTTCATATGTTAGATTTTTTGGCAATCGTTGTCCTCGAATTTATTGTTTCCATTCATATATCGGACAAGGCAATGGTGCAAACCACATTAGGTCAAGAAAGTAAAATTCATAGTTTCATGGTGGCAAAGAGAAAATGGGTCAAAAAATTTTTGTCATATTGTGATTTGTGAAGCATCCATTTATTCATAAGATTGGAATGAGGTTAAGAATTCTACTTATTTTGGTGCTGCACCATCTTTAACTTTATTGATTATATTTGTGGACATGATTTTGTGAGATCTTATGACATTTATATATGCATTTCTATGGGCAGGCAGGTGCTAATGTGAATGTTACTGCTGGTGGGGCCACCCCATTGCACGTTGCTGCTGATATTGGAAACCCTGAAATCTTGAACTGTTTGCTCAAAGCTGGGGCTGATCCGAATGTCACCGATGAGGTGAACCCATCTCTGCATTCATTTACTTGATGAATTATTATCACTTTCTTTAGAAATGATATGTGTATTGCCTGTATTGAAAAAAACCATTATTATTTAGAAATGATTATGACTAACTCTTTGCTTCACAGGATGGACAAAAGCCAATACAGGTTGCAGCAGCAAGAGGTAATCGTGCAGTTGTTGATATCCTTTTTCCCTTGACATCAAAGATTCACACCATCCAGGAATGGACTGTTGATGGAATTCTTCAAGGCATGCAGTGTGAAACTAACAAAGGACAGGTACCAAGATCCTTAAACATTTTGCTCCACAAGTATTATAGGAGTCCAAGTGATTGTGCCAATCTACTATTATTATGAGTAACTTGTTAATTAGCTTTTTCTTCCTAAACTACCTTACGACTGAGGTTCTTGCTCCCTAGTGATGAGCTTTTGGTTGTGTATGGTGTGTCTCCTGTAAGGAACATAACCTTTTAATACGAGAGTTGGAGATTATGATTATGAATTAGTGAGATATGTTTGAGAGAGAGAGAGAGAGAGAGATGAGGATGTTTTTTGCTCCGCAAGTATTATAGGAGTCCAAGTGATTGTGCCAATCTACTATTATTATGAGTAACTTGTTAATTAGCTTTTTCTTCCTAAACTACCTTATGACTGAGGTTCTTGCTCCCTAGTGATGAGCTTTTGGTTGTGTATGGTGTGTCTCCTGAAGGAACATAACCTTTTAATACGAGATTTAGGCTTCAAATGAGTAAGCTGCTGAAAATTCTTCTATTTGTTTGCAGGAAGAAATGAGGAATCTGAGGGAAGAAGTTGCTACAGAGGGCAATGCAGTACCCAAGAAGGATCTTCCTGAGGTAGCACTTCTAATCTGTAATATTGTTGCTTTTGTTGCTGTTTTGTTGTCTTAATGATTTACCATCTTTTTTTTTTTTTTTCATGATGACATTTTTTATCATGAACTTCCTTGGTTGATTGCTTTTTAAATGTTGTAAAAGATGGTTGCATTCCATTTAGAGAAATAATTGGTGCATTGCATGTACATATACATGCATTAATTTTATTCATACATGAAAAAAGAAAGAAAGATCAGTACTCCATAAGTTTTTCACTTATAACAAAGCCTCAATTAACTCTCAGAACTTATTTTCTTCTCAGTCAAGTCCTCGAACTATTAAAAATTCTCTATATCAGTCAAAAATTAATTACACGTGTTGCCTGTACTGCCAGCTGCGGTTATTACTTTGAACTTCTGTGGATTGTTTTTTAGTTGTTCAAAGACTTGATTGAGAATAAGACTATAAGTTGGAGGACTTTTAGGGTATTTTTCTCTGTAAAAACTGTTTGTTTAATTTGAAATTCCTGAATGAGCACAGATTAAGATAGAAGTTCTACATGCTTTTGGGAAGGGAAAAAAAAAAAATCCACTTTCGTATTTAAGGTTCTATTTGAGGAAAGTAATTCGGTGTTATATTTAATTTGACACTTCTGTATTAGCATATTTTTATACTTTACCTAATTTCATCATGTGGTCTTCATTGGGAAACATATGCATTAAGGGGCTGGACAGGCTGGTACAGATAATCTGAACCATAAGCCCAAGAGCCAAACCATTTATCACTTCAGAAAAACCTAGCAAATATCCACACGATTTGGTCTGTTTGGACATCCTGAATTCATGTTCCAACCCTATGTATCAAAATATTCTAAAGTTTATTATGCAAGGCAGTATTCTTTTGCTCTTATTCAGATATTAGTAATTCCTTTGGAATGTGCCTTTTATTCTTTGTTTTTTCCTCTTCTGCCAGGTCTAAAATATGCTCTGATTAAATAATTTATCTAATCTAATACTGGAAATTTTGTTGAAAGTATGTTTTGCCTGGAGCGCCACCCTCATATATTCCAGCTTGTGCAGGTGACGCCTGAAGTGAAAAGGAGAGCTGCAGAAGCAAAATCAAGAGGAGATGATGCCTTCAGAAGAAAGGATTTTCGCATGGCTGTTGATGCTTATACACAAGTACTCCATACATGTTATATCTGCTTTACAAAATTTAGAGGCTCCCTATTTCTTTAATTAGATTATCTGGTTCCTGGTTTCTCTGTCCCCTAGAGAGTAAAAATAACTACTATTAGTCTACTACCCATCCTAAGCAATAATTCTATATATGCATATTATCTTTTGATCCTCTTGATGCTATCTGAAGAATCTGCCATGGAAGTCTAAACTTGTGTCGTCTAATTTCTATACCATGGTAAGTAGTGTGATTAATGTTATGAGCAAGGTTATTTTAAGATGGGGAGTTTAATGGAGCAAACATTATCAAAAGAGTTTGTTCTTGGATGGAGGACTAGAAGATCTAGAAATAAACAAGGAAATGTTTCCCTTCCAGGTGTTTACTGCATTTGGGTTATCCTATTGATTGGAGTTGCTTCAAAGTTACAACTAAATGCTTGAAGTTAGAATTTCAAGTTGTTAGTGTTAAGGTGTCTGATAACCACTAATCTAATTGCAAATTCAAACTGCTAAACATAACCACTAATCAATGAGGCCCTTGGTTGTCAAATGGCTAGAATAGTTTGTGAGCTTTATGGTTGTCCATTCAATAATGGTTGTATTTCATATGCAGGCAATTGATCTAGACCGTAGTGACGCCACTTTGCTTTCAAATAGAAGCCTTTGTTGGTTACGCTTGGGGCAACCTGATCATGCATTAGCTGATGCAAAGGCCTGCAGAGAATTAAGACCAGATTGGCCAAAAGCTTGTTATCGGGAAGGTGCAGCTCTGCGATTGTTGCAGGCATGCTCTTCCTCTTTTGTTTCAGTTATAGGATTGATATGAAGCCCCATTTGATATTTTCTCATGGCTCATTTTTGTTTAATGGCAGAGGTTTGAAGAGGCAGCAAATTCATTCTATGAGGGTGTGAAACTTGATCCTGAAAATAAGGAGCTTGTGGCTGCATTTAGGTTTGTGGTTGAATCTTCTTATTTTGGCATGATTATACCGCAGTACTCAATACCCATTAACTACTTTCTTCAGCCTTTCTAGCAACGACCCCCCTCATCATATTCAAGCTGTGTAGTTTCTAACAGTGCAACTTTGGCGATCTCTACAGGGAAGCAGTTGATGCTGGGAGAAAGTTTTATGGTATAGGACAGAATCAGTCGTAATATCTTCAGTACTGTGTCAGTGAGGACGGGGACGAAATAGTTGTGGACAACTGCTTTACCATCCCTCTCCCTTTCTCTTCTCTTCTTTCTTTATAAACTTGTAAGAAACTGGAAGCTCGTATTTATTTTAGTTGCCTTAAAACCTTAGTGGAAAGGAAAAGGAAAAAGAAGAGAAATGATAGTTGATCATACGTGTAAGCTAATATAGCAGGAAAGCATTTACATGTTGATTGTGTTATCACAGTTTTTGTTTTACAAATTGATGGAATTTTGGTAGATTTTTGTGATAATTATATTTCTACCCTTTCTTTTTCTTGTTTTTGTTATTTTAATTCTAAGCAGTGAGACCTTTCAGAGGAGGGATAAATTTTTCTTAACAAAGTCATTAGATACAAGTACAAGAATAATTTTCGAATGAGCGGTTCCTACCTCTTTGGCTTTGGGTGCATTTAGGTATGGTAGTGTTTAAAATGAGAAAAATCTTCATGTTGTCACAAGTGTTAAATCATAATTAGACATCACTAATTCTAATTGGTAAACTTAATTTAAGTTTTACTTACTATTAATTAAATATTTCATTTATATAGGCATATGGTTTTGTATAGTTTTATGGAATGAAAATTGAATTTATATTTGAGTAACGAATAAATAATCTTCTGTTTAAAATTATTAATGACTTTTCTTTTAATCTTTGTTTTCTTGGGAATCAGGCTTTAGCTTGGTATATTTTCATATATTTATATGGTTGAGTTGGATTCGAACTGCTTCTATTGTTCCTCTCCCTATAAATAAAATGTTTTACCTTTATTTGGTTTAATTTCTATTACTTGTCTGTTCTTTAAAGATGCATTGTTTTAAATGCTTAGATTGCCAGAAAATAAACGTGATCACGAGAAAAACACATTGAAATAAGAAAATACATTTTTATCCGGAATTTTTCAAAATTTTATTTAATTTTTATTGTTGATTTTTTTATTTTTTTTTTATTAATATTAAATAAGATGCTGCCATTTTTTATCCGCACGTGAAACCAATTCTATATATTTAAACAATTGCTATATCAACATTTGAAAATTTGAACTGAAAGAAGCCTCATGTCGGCAGTTGAAAGTCTTTTACCGTGTCTGCAGTTGGGTTATGTCGATAGGCGGAATGTAGAGACGTGAATAATATTTCTAAACTGCTAATAAAGATGTATCCTTTTGCTGCTCATGAATATCAATAGTCAATATTTAATTAACTATTATTCTTTTGATAATTTTGTGTTGGGGCTAGCTGATATGATATGGTAATTACTGCCAAAAATGTTAATTGAATTGTTGAAGAAATCTAAATCAATGTGGTGTGAATTTTAAAATGGAAAAGATATAGTTTTCAATTGTCTAGCAAATAAAAAAACGAGAAAGACAAAATTCCATCGTAATTTCGTTCATATTTAAAGAACTATTATCGGATATAAATTTAAAATTTAAAGTTATATGTTTGAGTTCGCTCAACAATGGCGTATAATTAATTACTTACAAGTTATGATTCACTTAGTAATATAGGCTATACATATAAAAAAGCTCTCAAATTTGATCTTTATTAAATACCTGTAAAAAAGGTGAAGAGTTTTAACTGCGGACCGGATTAAGGAAAAAAAAAAAAAAAAAAAAAAAATGCACTTAGTAATATAGGCTATACATATAAAAAAGCTCTCAAAAATTTGTGATTCTTTATTAAATACCTGTCAAAAAGGGTGAAGAGTTTTAAACTGCGGAACCGGGGGGATAAGCGAAAAAAAAAAAAAAAAAAAAAAACAATGGATGTTTAATTCGTTCTAGAACAGTATTTTTGGAGAACCCTGAGTACTATCTGAAACAAATTTAGTCTCCTTAAAAGAAAAGCATAGGGCCAAAAAAAAAAAAAAAAAAAAAACAATGGTATGTAATTCGTAGAACAGTATTTTTGGAGAACCTAGTACTACTGAACAAATTAGTCTTCCTAAAAGAAAGCATAGGGCAGTCGCGGAAAGAAAATTAAAAATTTGAGCCTAAAATTGGAAAAGAAGTCCAACAGCCTTTTGAACGGGCCTAGTCGGCACAGTTGATCTAGCGGCTAAAATGAAGGCCATGTAAAAGATTTTTATTGCGCCCACATAACCTTATTATGCATTAATAATCAGTATTATCCTAGTCAAAGTCCAATACTTCTAAATCCTAATTAGTGTTTCGTCATTAGTCACCGTCCATTGATTATAACGTTTACAAGCTATATATGTACATAGGATAAGACTTCCATATATGTATGCTACTTCGTGTTGCCGGAGCACAGACACAGTATGTCAGAATGAAATTCATCAACCCATCTTCAAAATTCTCCACTTGCTGAAAGAACTGACCTTTTTTGAAAATTCACTTCTGGGTTTGATTGGAATTAGTCAAGGCAAATGATGATCTTATATTATATCTTAAAATGATCATATAGCGTCTCAATAATTTTCGTTTCTTACATTTGTTTTTTTGCATGGTTTAATCAGATTGAGAAGAAAAGGAAACGTATATCTGGAGCCATCAAGAACTGAAGATATTGTTACTTCTCCTATGGATTTTAATAGTGGTATGTAGTTTTTTTTTTCGACTTTGGTTTCTATATCGAGTGTTTGACTTTCATGGAATTGTTTTACTTGTTAGTAAGCCAAGTATTTGCTCATATTTACAAATATTAAGGGGTTATGATTTATCTGTTTTTTCTTGCTTTCTCTTCCTTGCTTTCTATTTCTTTGGGTCAACCAAGAATAGCTTACACGTAAATGCAATTTCAAACATGGGTCCTCTTTTGTCTGCCATGATTCACATCCTGATGGCGGAATTCGTATTTGATTGTAGGGTTTGCATTTATTGAAGTAAGTTCAGTTAAAGCTAGCGCTATGAAAGTAATTTCTTGCCACTTTTCACCTGATGGAAAATGGCTTGTTACTGCTGGACATGATAAGAAGGTAATTTCTGACTTTAATTTGCGGGAGATCAATTTCTAGAACATTTAACTACTTGGATAACTGAATTTACTGTTGAAGACTTGAATAATTTGCCTCTTTATTGGTCTATGATACAGGCTGTGCTGTGGTATGCAGACGGGTTGAAGCCAAAATCAATCTGTCAAGGACATTCATCTCTGGTTACAGATGTTCGTTTCAGTCCAAGCATGCCGTATCTTGCAACATCTTCATTTGACAAAACTGTCAGGGTTTGGGATATTGGCAGTGTTAGTTGACTCATTTTCCACATGATTTACTTTTTTCCTTCTTAAGAAATGATATTTATGGATATTCTGGTTGTTGCTTTAATGATGTTTTATTCACATGTTATGCAATTTTATTATTTTCTTTGCATGTTAATGTGACTTTGGAATGAATGATGATTGCCTGCTTGTCTCATTTTAAAATCAATGAATGATTGCAACGATTGAAGTTTGATTAAATAAAAAGTGAGCAGTGACCATATGCCATTCGCAGAGCTATTATTAACCTTCAAATAACTTTAAAAGTTTCTTGGCAGACCACATGAATTTTTTTAAGGTAAAATTAGTCATAAAAAGGGGCTTCTTGCTTTACCTGCCATCACGAGGATCTGAACCTAAATTCTATTGGAAGTTTAGAAATTTTGGGCATTTGACTTGAACAGTAGTTGTGGCTATGAGGTGACTAAGCACATGTGCAGTAAATCTTTAAGTAGCACACAATGAAGTATTGTCAATGACCAACTTTCTTTGTGTCTAGCATGCTTATAATTTTCTTCCCTCTGTAAACTGGTCATAAGATAATTCTATATTGAGAATTTGACTTTTTGTATCCTTTCGATATTACTTAACAAATTCATGCTGTCATAGCTTTGTAACGGTTTTGCAGGCTCGTGAGTCATTACATACTTTTAGGGGACATTCTGCTTGTGTTATGTCAGTGGATTTCCACCCTAATAGAAATGAACTTATTTGCTCTTGTGATGGGGATGGTCAGATACGATACTGGAATATTACTACCGGGATATGTTCTGAGGCATTCAAGGTAGAATATTGTGAATTGTTTGATTTTTAATATCAGATAAAAATTGGAAGGAATGGCCTTTATTTTATTCATTTCTCTCTCTCTCTCTTTTTTTTTTTTTTTTTTTTTTGGCCTTTATTCTTATTCATTTCTCTCTCTCTCTCTTTTTTTTTTTTTTTTTTTTTTTTTTTTTTTTTTTCCTTTCTGATTTGGGCAGGGCAGGTAAAGGGGTGGCGTTCGCGGTTTTATGTCTTAACTGGCAAATGATGATGTTTTTTTTCTTTACTTCTTTTTGAATGGATTAGGGTGGTACGGCCCTGATAAGGTTTCAACCCCGTCTTGGGAGGTATCTTGCTGCAGCTGAGGAGAATTTCGTGGCAGTAATAGATGTGGAGACACAAGCTTGTCTTCATTCATTAGAGGTTAGTTTAAACATTAAAATTTCTTTCTGTCTATATTACCAAATCTAAGAGGTGATGCCGCGTTTTGTATTCCTAGGTAGCAGTGATATGAACACTCTCCTTCTTAAGCCCTCATCACACGATGATTCTGAAGCCACCATAGTTAAGACTGTTATTAGAATATATGTGTCTGTCTTTTTAGTAAAGAAAATGTCCTTTCAGTTGTGATTGGTGATTTTGCAGTGACATATCAATGTACTTTTACTTTTACCTGCTGATTCATGCTGGTATGTCAATTGGAACAATAAATTAAATAAAAGATATAAAAAGTAGAAGTCTCACTTAGCGATTATTCAGTTTTAGAACTTCGATGAGCTGATGAACGTGTTCGTGTGCATGTATATTCCATTTACATAAGCTGAAAGCAAATATAAGCAGCCTTTGCTTACTGCAGCACAGCTAATATTACGTTCCTTTTGATAATGGATCATTAACTACAGGGACATGTTAAACCAATTCATTTTGTGTGCTGGGATCCTTCTGGCGAGTATATAGCATCTGTCAGTGAGGACACTGTCAGAATATGGACAATTGGATCAGGGAATGAAGGAGAATGCATTCATGAGTTAAGCTCCGACAGCAATAGATTCCATTCCTGTGTTTTTCATCCCACAAACCCTTCATTGCTAATTATTGGCTGTTACCAGGCAAGTCACATGTCATTGTACTATATCTGTTGTTTTCTATAATAATCCTTTTCCAAGCTAAAATTAGCAATTTTTTGATAGCTATGTGGTGCACAAGTTTTAACCCTTAAACCTGCATTTGCTTTTCGTAACATTTTACAATGCTTCTTCATAATGCAAGAGGATCAAACATATGATTGTCATACATAAGAAGTTGAGGAAAATATATAAATATAAAATTTCATATCAATATGAATTTTTAAACCATGAAAGTGGTTGTCTTGCTCTTCCTTTGGTAATGTCCTGGAAAAATTGTTAGCAGCACTGTTTGTTGATTATGTTGCCTGTGAATTGTGTTTCTGAGATACAATTGTGGCCACGTACTTCAGACTTTGAAGATTTGGAACATGATTGAGAACAAGACAGTGACACTGCCAGCTCATGAAGGACTGATTGCTTCATTGGCTGTATCAACAGTGAATCGGTTGGTTGCTTCAGCTAGTCATGATAAATTTGTGAAGCTGTGGACTTGACTCCGCTAATTCAGTCATATACAAATGCTCCTATTTTAGTTGCTTAGTTTCCCAATTTCTGTGTCTGAATCAACTGTAGGTCCTCATAACCCCAGAAACTGAGCTTGTCCAGCACAAGAAATTGCTGCTAACTTGGAGTTCATGTTCACTTTTCTTGAACACTGGACGTTCTGTAAGGTTATGAATCCATAAATTTCCTGTACAGTCAGTTCTTGTTCATATTTGCACCTTTATTTATTATTTTTTGCTCAGGGAGATTTTTTCATTAGCTCATTTTGCAAATCCTAACTCTTTTTTTTTTTTATGAGGATCAATCCTATCTCTTTTAGGAATTCCAATATATTTGATATATTTTGAAATCTGTAAATTTCTTCTACTTTAATCTCTAGCCTTGTTTAAAAAATTAAAAATTGCAAGGGTTTAGACTGAAGTGTGACATACGCCGATGGGTTAATATAATGCATTAAAGAAAGTTGAATTTGTAATGTGTCTGCCTTTGATTTGGGGAAAAATGCAAATAAAATTGATTCTGACTGCAAGTTTAAGTTAAATCTAAATTTATTATCGGGTCGCATGTGTATCTAACAAAGTTGAGTTTTTTAATTATTTGGGAGGAGAGTTGTTTTAATAGAGAGAGATTGTTTGTTTGAAGGGTTTGAAGACTTCTAATTTTCTATACTCTGTATTAGTGTTTTAAAAATTGCAATTTTGTCCAATTCATATTTTTTTTTTATTTTTTTACTCACATCTTTCTTAATAAATATTTTAAATATCTTTAGTACTATTAAATATATATAAAAAAGAATTATTATTTTAAATAACGATTTTTCATGGAAATAATATTTTTGAATCAAACCACATAAATTTGTTAAATATTCCTCATTTTACCTTCTTTACAAACATTAAAAAATTCATTTCTTTACCTTATTAAATCTTTCTTCACCCTTCCAAACAATGATCTTTCCTTAGTATTGGATTAAGAATACTAAATATCAGCCTCATTTCTTTAAGAGAGTACAATTTCACAAGTTTATAAAATGAATTTATTTGATTTGTATTATCAATTCAATCTATGTTTCTAATTAAATATTATAAAAATTTCAATTTATCGTATCATTTTTAATTTTATATTATAGATATTATTATTTTGTAGCTTGATAATAATTTATTATTTTTCAGAAAGTATACTTTTTGAAAATGTATTTAAATATAGGTTATTTTCGTTACTATATTAAATATTAAGGGCATCCAAATTATATTTGAATTGTTAGATAGAGGAATAATTTAATTAAGAAATTATCCTTCAGTTAATAAAAATAAAATCCATTTTAAAATTATAGTTATTCCAAAAAAGATAAAATATCTCAAGTAACAGCTAACAACTTTTCATTGATTTTTTTATGTTTCTAAAACCAGAAAGAGGATGAATGAGAATCAGAAGAGTCCTCAACGTTAACTGTTCAACAAGTTCTCTCCTTTTGTCCTTTAACAGAGAGAAACACGAAAGGTTGAATCTTGAAATTATTAGGGTTTCTCTGTCTATAAAGAAATTTCTCTTTAAAAGTTTCTCCTTTTTCCCTGTAAATTCTAAATTCAAAGCTTACGTTTTTTCTATTGCTTTCTTTGAAACTCTAGATCTAATCTTGCTACTCACAAAGTTCCTACTATGTCGCTAAAATCATCTGCCGGTTATGGCACCATCCCTTCCACCACTACTACGACCACTCAACCCCCAACTACAACTGCTACTTCCCTCACGTTCATTTCACGCGCCACTACTGCAACCCAAACAATTATGGCCACTCGCCGCCCGTGGAGGGAACTTCTCAATCTTTCTTCTTTGTCTCGCCCTTATAGTTATGGAGAAGCAATTTCTCGGATCAAGTACAATCTTAACTACTTTCGGGTAAATTACGCCATGGTATTCTTATTCATTCTGTTCTTAAGCCTTCTTTGGCACCCTGTCTCTATGATCGTTTTTATTATAATTTTCATAGGCTGGTTTTTCCTTTACTTCTCTCGAGAGGGTCCGATTGTGTTGTTTAACAGAACTTTTGATGATAGAGTGGTGTTGCTTGCGCTTGGATTGGTTACTATCGTAGCATTGGTGTTTACTCATGTGGGATTGAATGTCTTGGTTGCTTTGACTATTGGAGTTGTAGTTGTTGGCATTCATGGTGCTTTTAGGAATACTGAGGATTTGTTTCTTGATGAAGAGAGTGTTGCAGAAGGTGGGTTGCTATCTGTTGTTGGAAGTCAGCCTCTGAGGCCCACAACATATACCCGGATTTGAGTTTTATTTTAGATTTTGCTTGTGGCGATTTGCAGTTTGTTTTGAAATTAGTATGGCTGTTTCATTTTGGTTTGGTGTTATTGGAAAAAATTGGTGGTTTTAGGTGGGTTGTTGATAACTTCTTATTATCGGTTTGTGTTTTGTGGGTGACTGAAATGGTCTTAATGGAGATGGAGATGGATTGGTATTGCAATGCTGCAAATTGACAAGAATGCAATTTTTAAGATTGAATTGGGATCGGGGATATGTTGGTTGGTAGCATCTTCAAAGGAGGTTATGTCTTTGTTATCTTTTTTCAAAATTCTTACCTTGGGAATTAACTTTGTTTTAGTCATTTGATGCTATTACTAATTTGTGAATTTCAGTCAACCATTAATGGAAAGTTATAGTTTTTTCTTATTTTAATACTATCTGGATCATTCAAACTATCAATCCATATTTTGTGGCCAGTACATGGAGGTGTGTCTAACATATAACATAAACTCTTGCTCAAATAGATGGTTACATTTTGCATGAAAATAGTTTTGATATGTAGTTGTTTTATTGGTCGTTCGTTACCCAATCAAATATTTCACAACCTATGTTTACATCGCAAGTCTTCGTCAAGTTTAATGCAATATGATGATTGATGGTGAATTCAGTGAATCATGACTGCATATTTAGCACAACAATTGGACTCCTCCGAGTTCTATAATTCATTATGATCTTTTGCTCTTCTCATGTTCTTGAATTGTAAAAAGTGAACTTTTTGGCATTTATGAAAGGGAATATTGGTCATTAGGCAGCCAATTAGAAGAATCTCTTCAATTTCCTATGAATTCACTGACTCTGGATTTATGAGTTAAAATTTTATATACATCAATTGACGCTATTACTAATTTCCTTAAGATAAATGAGGAGGTTTCCATGTGTTAAAGTCAGTACTAAATTTTTCCTACTCTGATTATGCGACCTGATGGATGGTGGCAAGAACTTGTGCTAACTCTTATTGGCTTGAAGTTCTAGGCTGCTTTAGTTCCTTGTAACTGTTGAAACTTAAAAGTTGATTTTTTTTTTTTTTTTTTTTCTCTGATTATGCGACCTGATGTGGATGGAGTGGCAAGAACCTTGTGCTAAACTCCCTTTATTAGGCTTTGAAGTCATGCCTAGCTGCATTTTAGTTCGCTTGGTTAACTGTTTGAAACTTAAAAGTTGATTTTGTTTTTTTTTTTATTTTTTTTAGGAAAGAATTTTTTGTTTAGCTATGGAGGAAATGTATAACATTGGTTTTGTGACCTTTTGCTGTATCTTTAGGATGAAGTTTGCAACCAAGCCTTGCCCCCAGATTTGGTATTATTAGGTTTTATTAAAACCCTTTGTTTGAGGGAATTGCTTCCTGTGCATAAATTCAGGCCCCCTTATTGGTTCAATTATTCTGGAAAAGTTTGTGAATAACTCTCGATTGTGGCAGATTTGTAAGGTGCGCTAACTTGATATATTGTTGAAGCAATTAATTCTTGACTTTAATTCACATTTTTTATATTATTTCCCTCCCCAAAATGTTCATAATTTTGATTTTTTTTTTTTTTTTTTAGGAAGATTTTTGTTTAGCTATGGAGGAAATGTAAACATGTGGTTTTGTGCCTTTTGCTTGTAATCTTGTAGGATGAAGTTGCAAACCAAGCTGCAGATTTGGTATTATTAGGTATTAAACCTTGTTGAGGAATTGATCCTGCAAATAAATCAGGCCCTTAGGTTAAATTATCTCTGAAGTTTGTGAATACTCTGATTGTGCAGATTTGTAAGGTGGCAAATGATATATTGTTGACAATAATCTTGACTTTAATCACATTTTATATATTCCCTCCAAAATGTTCAAATTTTGAATTCGTATGATTTATGAACTTGTCTGTAAATCCTCCCTCTCCAAAGTGGATTGGTGTATCCGCTTGTCATAACAAAAACTATCAGCATTTGGACTGTTCTTCAACATTTAAAATGTGATGTTTACAAAATCCTTATCTTCATTGAGATGATGTCAAAGATTAAACTGGCATTCTTGGCAAGTTCTCGACAGCCTGGCTATGAGTTGTCTTCAGTCGTCTGAAATGGTCTAAACTAGCATTCTCCAGCTAAATGTGCATATTTGCTGGTTTGGGGGCCCCCAGCTCCCATTTTCCTCCAATCCAAAGAAAAATCTTATAATTTTTTTCAATTTTTTTATCTGAGTTTAAGGTATTTTCGAATCAGTTCATGCACTTATAAATTCCAATGTTGGTCCTATATGGAGGTGATGAGTTTAAGAGTGGATTATTCTTATTTGGCTTATCCATTAAAAAACCTCTTAATGATGTTTTCAAGAATTATATCATTATCATTCATGCAAAAGGCAAACTTACAACACTTAAATCCACTGGATTGACTATACCAGGTCCAATAGGTTCCATGAACTAACGAAAAATAAATATTAAAATAAGAGTATTCCTATCATATATCAGAGAAAAAAAAAAGGATAAAATGAAAATAATATTTAAAATTTTATATTTTCAGTAGGTCTGCAAACTCGGTTTAGGCAAATTTAATTCTAAATTCAAATAGTTCTATTTTATTGCAGGTCCAACAATGTAAAAATGATTATTGATAATAATTACGGGGTCTACCCTTTTTTTCTTAATTAGTTTGGATTACACAATTATACATAAGAAAATCAATTAAATCAGCTTAATTGGTCTTGATGTATTCTCTAATTAAGCACTATCTCACCCTCGTAACAAAATAGTCAAAACACTACGTGTTAGGCTCAAATATTCCCACGTGGCTTGTAACATGTATGGTTCGAAGCAAACCAGCAGTTTCAACCAGTCGTCAATTTTACAAACAGCCGTGGCTTCTTCCTTCATCCTTTCTGGTGTAAATTAATGGCTCTTACGTTACCCTGCTACTTTCACATTTCAAAAGGTATAAGCTCAAAATCTCCATATACATGTAGAGGAAGAAGTTGGAGGACTATTGGGCAGAAACGACTTGTTTTTAGGAGCAAGGAATGTAAGGTGCAGTGCTGCAGTGCTTCTTCAACCTCATCAGCTGCTGAACAAGTTTTGGTTAACGACATAAGAAGAAGAAACTTTGAAGAAGATAGGGAAGGGCGTTTTGATCATTTGGTTAGTGAGTTTGGATGGAAAGTTAGGAAATTGGCTATGGATGCACATGAGATGAAGGAAGTTGCCCAAATTCAAGCTGAAGCTTTCCATAAACCTTTTGCCATTTTTGATGATCTATTTTTTCAATTCTTCAAGGTTTTTTCTTCACGTTTATTCATTTGTTTTCACTTCTTGATTTAGGATTTTGGCTTTTAGATTTAAAATTAGAATACCGATGTTCTTTTACTAAAATAAAAAATTCACAGGCTGAAGTTCTTTCTGGGCTTCTTTACAAACTCAGGAACTCACCTCCAGACAGGTAGTCCTTAATCTTTATCAATAATTAAAATGCTATTTTAGCACATAAATTTATTATATTATAAACGTGATTAATTATTCTATGGACCCTAGAAAAAAGATTTGGAACTTTTTGTTTCAAAAAAGAAAAAAAAAAATTCATTTTTGACACATTCACATGCGTTAAGCTTTCAAGTTGCAAAAGAAAAAGGGATTTAAAACTTTTCTTTTTCTTAATATTTTGATAGGTCAAATTGGTGCTTTGGCTGATTCAACAGAGAACATGATGATTAACTTAAAGTTTAAACAGATATGCATGCTTGGTAGCTGAACCTGCAGCTGGTTCTTCCAATTCTCAAGGGAATAAACTTGTGGGTGTTGTGGATGTCACAGCATCTAGAGATGAAGATGTTCTGCAACATCTCAGCGGAGCAGAGGAGTATCTTTATGTTTCAGGAATAGCTGTTCCCAAAACTCTCAGGTTTTATTACTCTTCTGTTTGGTATAAATGGATTAACTCAATTAAGAATTCATTTATAAATAAATGGATATTAAGTTTTCAGAGCATTCCTGTTAATTTTAGTAATAGACTAATGTTTTGTAATAATAATTAACAGGAGGCAGAAAATAGGGAGCGTGTTGTTAAAAGCATGTGATTCGCTCTCCAATATATGGGGTTTCAAGTATCTCGTTCTCAGAGCATATGAAGATGACATGGGTGCTCGCAGACTGTATGCAAAATCTGGTTACAGAGTTGTTTCCAGCGATCCTCCATGGATGACTTGGATTGGAAGAAAACGACGCGTTCTTATGATCAAACAGTCTAATTTGTCGAATTAACATTAGTAGTTTCTCGATCACATTTTGTAATCTGAGCATGAGTGTACTTATTTTGTAGAGAATGAAAAATGATTCAGTTGACATCCCTTGTGTTGATATAAGATTAAGAAACTGTTCAGCATTAAGATTAACATTGCTTTTCTGAAGAAATAATATTTTTAAATTACTAAAGGACAAAGCAATTTGGTATTATTTTTTTTGACATTAAGCAATTTGGTATTATTATTTCTAAGCTTTTATAGCTAAAACATATAAATTCATCTAAAAAATAAGCTTTTAAAACTTCTGATCAATGTTTTTAACATGGTATTTTTCTTATCAGCAGCTACCAAACAAATGTAAGCATAACAGAGTTTCATGAGCTTAAGCAAGCTCCACAGCCATCAAACAAGTATGGAGGAGGCGGAAAAACATCATTATAAGAAGAAACCACACTGATAAAACATCCATTAAAATTTACTGTCTACAATAAAAAAAAGCTTATATGCAGAAACTATCTCAATCAACTGGAAAAAAAATGAAGGGAAGATATCCTCAAACAAGAACATGGCAAATCAGTACGAAAGAACTAAGCACTAACCCTATCAATCTTCCTCTAGGTTAATGGAATCCCCAAATTTCCCATACAAGATCTTCTTTAACTCAGCCATCTGAGCTAGGAGAGAATCCTTCTCTTCCTCTAGTTTTTCTAAGTTTTTGCTGGTTACCTCTTTCATCTCTTCTATCCTGGTCTCAACTTCTTCCTTTGGAACATGAGCAAACACTTCTCCTATTTGGAAACGAACAACCTCCTCATCAGTGAGAATTAATTCATTGCTTGCATCCTCCAGATTCTCATTTGTTTCCTGAAGAAAGGAAGCCTTTGCATTAGAAGAGAAAAAATGACTTGGGAATGGCAAACTTCACCAAATAAAAGTAACTAAATTTGGGATTAATCTGCCCAACTAATTCAAACTAATAAGAAAAAGAAGACTAACATATTACTTGGTGAAAATCACCATTTTCCACCATAGATAAAACACTTCCACATACCTAAATCTTGCTAATCCTATTCACATGTTTGTAAAGCCTAGAAAAGATTGTTCACTTAATTCACCATTACCCAGCATTTCAATTCACCATATTTATGTGGTTCAATCAAGAAAAATTCAATTTTGATCGGCATACTTGAAAAAAGAATTCAAGATGAGCTCAATCAGCTAACATTCATGGGTTATTTCTGATGCCCAAGCTAATCCAAGAGTAGTCCATCCCTTTAGTAATGATTGATACCAAAACAAAAACGAACTTACTATTCACAATGAAGATGAACCATAGCTAACCTTTTTGAAGTCAATCAACAAAATGGAATTTACAGATAGACCATTCTCACCAATAAAAAAGTGAACAAATACTCAAAAAATACCCATACACCAAAACTAATGCTAAAATTATCCCCAAAACCTTAATTAATCAAGGCCACAGCAGAGGGAAGGAGTGATAAATACCTTTGCAATCTTAATTTCGTCCTCAAGCTCGTGAAATCGGTTGTTTAATCTCCCAAATTTATTGATGTTTTGCTGATCCTCCCAAGTCACCTCCATCTCAGATCCCCCACCCTTCACATTCAATACAACTCATAAAGAAAGAAACTTTTTCTTCTGTTTTTGAAGAGAAACGATTAAGCATAGTAGAAGACAAAAGCACAAGTACAAGGTATGATTAGGGTTTTTGATTACCTGTTGCATGTTTGCCTCTCAAATTTTCCAAAGACACAGACTGCAACTTTCAGTTCAATCTCAAATCTCCAGACACTCGCACCTCCACCCACACCTGAGTTAAACGGTGGCGCTTTGCTGGCACGTGAAGTTACTAATATAAGCCTCGTCTTTCCGCTTTACCTTCCACGAACAAAATCTCAGACAAAGGGCAAAATTATAAAAGGAGAAACCAAGATTTATCTACTAAAAAAAATGAGCACGAGTTAAACTGGTGAAGGCAGAAGTTTTCTTTAACGAAGCTCTACTAAAGTTTTTTCTTTTAAGGATTGAAGATTATATATTTTTTATATTAGTGAGATTCCAACCTTGGTCGAGGAATTTCAAATTTTAATTCATCTTTTGTATAACAAATTATCATTAGTCACCTTTTTTTTTTTTTTTTTTTTTTTTTTTAACTGGTGAAAGGGCAGTAAGTTTTCTTTAACGAAAGCTCTACTAAAGTTTTTTCCTTTTAGGATTGAAATTGATTATATATTTTTTTATATTAGATGAAGATTCCACGCTTGGTTCGAGGAATTTTCAAATTTTAAATTCATCTTTTGTTAAACAAATTAATCATTAGTCACCTTTTTTTTTTTTTTTTTTTTTATTTTTTATTTAAACAGTTTTCAATGGTTTTTTTTTTTTTTTTTTATTTTTTATTTAAACATGTTTTCATGGTTGGAACCTGTAACTTTCCGAAAGTATTCTGTAAATTTAAATGTATGACATCTTAGCCACTTCTCATTATTGATGAAGATCTTACATGAAAATATATGAAAGAAGCCTAAACAGAAAAATTATAGGCACTAATTCATGTAATACTCATATATTAATTTGCACATCACCATACAGTTATGTTCCATTTAGTAAAATCTTAAATACATCGCTTCATTTTGATGAATAAATTTTAATATAATATATACTTTATTATTTATTTCTGAAATTATAGGATCTTTTTGAAATCATATGTTATATTAATTTCAGGTCAGAAGTAAATCAAGGTAAGTTAGGTTAACCTTAAGAACAAGAGATCATTATGCATCATTTTGCAGTTGGAGATCAAATGAAACAAAAGATAATGGTAAATGGCTAAATGCATCCCGCCAAGGATCTACCTACCGTCTGATTTTCATCAGCAAGTGCCCAACAGATCAACCTATTTCATCACATAAACCATCTTAAGCTTCCATAGTTTTGAAGAACTTTAGCAACCACTCCATGCAATTTGGGTAGAGAGCAATAAGTAATTTGATATAAAGAACAATGGTACATAGAAAATATAATCCGTAAATGATGTGACCATCCGATAAAATAAATCGATACATGTAATTGCATGCTTGTAACCTAGTATTTGAGGGATCCAATAGTCAGAGCATACAGCTTTTGCTTCTCAAGATCCAGTATATTTTGCTGTCCGAAGAGATGTAAATGATTGAAACTGCCAAGATTTCTATATTATTTAAGAAGCTTGAACCTTTCGACAATATGATAGTACCATTATGAAGTCCTTGGCTGAGGAACCCACCAATGCTGGTACCTTTTTTGATGTTGAGGCTGTCCGAAACCACAAGTCTACCAAGTTGTGTAATTGCAGAGTTGGAAGTACTCGCTGACCCCGGCACATTATTTCAACCTGTACAAGGTAAAAGCAGCCAATTTTCATCCTATTCCTGGAAGGAAGAACACAAGTTCTTATGTAATCCAAGAACTCATGCCTCCAGCAATTAGCAAGATGAGTTTCAGAAGTAATAAAAGTAATTTGGGGAAGGTCAGCAACCGTGAAACATTAAATTACGACTGTTTATAAGCTCATCATATTATGACAATAAGGCAACAGACTCAAGGAATTCCATCTTCAAGAACATGTTAAAAATGAAGATCACGAGTAGAGATCCTATAAGGGAAACAAAACAAGAAAAAGTATTTGGAAAGTTTAAAGGGAAACTGACAGCATTTCTCTAGTCTTCCTGAAATGTATATCCTAATTGATTGTACTGCACTGCAGAAATATTATGAACTAAAATAGTAGGTTTCAATTTCAACAGGAAGTAACAACTTGCTGCAAAATATTCATTTCATAATGTTGAAGTTTTTTGCTTTCAGATTCAGTTTTCTTTTGCATTCAGAAAAAAATGCTGAAAATTCAACATAGATAATAGGTTATAAGAGAACAGTTAAAATATTCAGTCATCTTTCTCAGAGGGAAAGAGAGATGAACTCACCTCAGCCTCGCTTGTAAGATCAAGTTTTTTTACAAGATACTTCTGAATGAATGAGACAGGCATTTTACCATCCCTATGATGGGAAAGGAAGGAAGTCAATAAACATAATTAAGCATTTGAAAATCAATTTTTAAGTCAAATATTAGTTTCTCAATACCTGAACACTAACCAATATAAGTACAATTAAAGCAGTTAACTGAAAGTGCACCAAGACAAAGGTTATCAATTCTCAGACTAAGGGTTTGATTTTTTATTAATACAAATCCGGGTAAATCAAACACATACACAAGAAAAAGGAGCATAAACTTCATCACTGTACATGCTAGATCTATATATCTCAATGTTATTGATTGAAACAATTAACTAGCATGATCCTCCACATTCTAATTTCTAGACAAAAGAAAAAAAATTCTTGAAGTTTATAATTGTATTATCATGTGTAAGGGCCTCAGCCTATACAGTCGATGCACTAGCAATTCATAAATGACTGCACTATGATATCTTTCTGAAATGAAGACCCAATTTTTAATCTGAAAGCATTACACAAGCACTTCATTTTTTTGTGGCTTCCCAATCATTTCCCTTTTACTCCAAAAGCGAAGTTATGTAGCCTATATACATCAGGTGTTATTTAATAAGCCCTGAATCATAAATTTTATGATTGAGCATGATAAATGAGAGTTAAACATTATGATACAAACCAAGAGTTCTCCAACAATTGACAACTTCATCCATTTTCTATGTAGCATATTCTAATTAAATACCCAGAACATAAGTTCTGCAAAAGTTACGAATGATGTCATTTGTGTCTTCATTTTGTTTAAATCACAATGAGTTTTTCTGGTTACCAACTCTTAAAGACATCTTAAACCTTATTCAGAATTCTCTTTACTTTTGGCGTAAAATAGCAAGCATAAACCTAGTGCAATCACGCATGTGACCTCAAAGGTGATCAAATTGAAATAGAGAAAAAAAAAAGGAAAAAAGAAAAAAACTGCCCCAAATATGAAGATCTGTACATCACCTTCCGAATGAATTGGATGGTTCAACTGACATTAACCATGAGAATTAATTGCATACAGGAATCAAACTTAGCAATAAACTAGTATTTCAGAAAAAATTAAAATAGAAAACTGTAATCATAGTACTGTATTGATCGACAGTTCTAGATGTCCAATCAAAATGGCATTTGATATGCACGTCAAAAGTGGCAAATATAGAATATTTTTTTCCTAGGGTCAACAAATAATTTTGAAAAGAAAATAGGGCCAAATGAGGTTAATTTGGACAAACATATTTATATATATGAAGAATTGAAAAAAAAAAAAAAAATGAGGGTGACCCCTAATTTTGTAAGCTGGATCCGTCACTTCATGCCAAGTATATCGAATGTTGGAATGTACAAGGGCTTTTAGATGGAAATTTACAAATTCATACGAAGATAATGAGTATTAATATGTCAAGGATAGCAATTATTTCCAGCCATAGTTTTGGCTTCTAGCTGAATTCCTTTGAACTTTTGGTCAAACTTCAGGTGTACATTAAAACAATCTTACAATATGTGAAAAAAAAAAAAGCACATTTTTGTATTGCCTTTTCAATAGAGAGAAGTGTTCAACTACCAAAATGCTGGGCAAGACTATAAAAATCAACCGAATATCAGCAGAATGAAAAAAAATTTTAGACAGGTCATGTGAACAGAGAAACTTACTTAATCCTCAAATAACATGAAGATATCTGCGGCAAGGAGGCATCTCCTTTCCTGAAGGTATTAACCATAAAATCAGATACTAGAATAAATCGCTAAACAAGCTTCCCAATAGTATATTAAGAATCACAGCAAGCCCAGGAAGGAACTTACTGATCTTCAGAGGCAACTAATGAGAACCAAACCGGACAATTTCTTCTGTTATTCTTAGCACATGCAGCGTCTAGCATGACTTGTGCTGAGGCACTGAGCTCTTCAGACATAGCAGCCCTTTTCCGTGATGCTGTTAATCTTCTACGCTTAACTGATGCATGAAGTGAATTTGCCCCATTTTTTTCATCATGGACCTTCATATCCTGCCCATACTCCTTATTTTTAGTTTTAGTCATATATACTTCACTGAAATAACCATTGGGCGATCCAGCCCTGGACTTTGTTCCAGGTGACTGAAATTCACAATCAGGCGCACCAAGTAGTTCCGTTTTGGCAAGAGATAACCCTTGTGAATTTGACTTAGAGGACTTGCTTCTGTTAGCAGCTTCGACAAGACAATTTAAGGGAGTCCATAAATCAGCTTTGCCTTCTGTTATTTCTAGATCATCTTCTGGTTCTTGTTTATGCCTTTGTGAATTTAAAGAATCAGCCACAGAAGAATCCTGCACCAATTTAAAGCTGCCTTTTAGCAGGAATGTGGGGGCTTAAAAAAAAAAAGAAAAGAAAAGTTTGAATTCCATGTCATTCAGGCACAAAGAAATTCCTTTCTCCTTTACCTGCCTTTTATTTTGCACAATTTTGTTAGGAGACTCAGGCGAGCTTGAGCTGATTGGATTATCTTCTGCAGAATCTTCTTTCTTATTGGATTCATCAACAATAAAGCTGCATCGTGAAGCAGCAGCCTTTCTTGCACTAGCTTTAGATCTCCTCCCTGTCAAGCCAGTTTGCATTGGTACCTTGGGAGTACTAACCACTAATGATGATAATGATCTCTCCTTTCTTTTTGCTGGCAATGCAATTGAAGGCATAACTTCATGGGCCTTAATTTTTCTTCTTTTAAAAGGAAATATTTTGGCCCTTATATCTTGCAAATTATGGTCTGGCCTGCATAAAATCAATATACGGGTGCAAAATGGTGAGCAAAATCTAAAACAAAAATCGAGAACAATTTTTTTCTCATAAAGAAGAAAAGTACAAAACATGTGTCATGTCTGTTTGATTTCTTATTAAGTAAGGCAAACAAGAATACAATTAGTGAACAACATAACATGTGAATGGAGCGTGCTGAGTTAAACCTAAATTGCTGAAAACAATATACCAAAACAACTCAAGAGTCAAATGAGAGGCTACTTCAGAATTTAATAATTTAGATATGAAAAATTACTAGCATCTCGTGCTGCAGAAGTGGTTTTATGACATTAAAGTTTATTGACAATATCTAATGCAATCACGGTATCCTACAGGCTAAAAGCTAGAAAGACACCCGACCATCTGCAATATCAAGACCACGGAATATGGTACAAAGAACAAGCGCAATGAGTAAAAAGGATATTCATGAGTTAAAGCTGAGAAAAACAGCACTGCTTAATTGTGCTCACTGCTCAGCACAATCAATATTGTGTAGTTCAACAGATAAAACAGGATTTTCTACAGTGTTGTTGGTCATTATTTTTCCTCTTTTTGGATCCAAACAAAGGAAACAGGAACTAATCAAGCACCATGATCAGAACACAAGAGAAGGTTAGAAAAGAAAACGGAGTCCGAAAAGCATTTGCTTTATATGCTGGAGCCGATAGCTATAAATTTTGTAACATATAAAGGCCTTGTACTTTAAGAAGAAGTTGATATGCTTGCTAATTTCTAACAATAAAAGAATGTGCCTTTAAACATGCAAGTGTAAAACCTGGCGCTAACATAAACAACTAACGACCAACCTCAGCTTCTCCACAGGCAGATAGCCCAGGTCAATATTGCATACAGGACAGCAGTCTACTTCTTCATCTGAGAGCTTTTCATATATGCATTTTCTGCAGACTGTTTTGGATTTCAAAATCAATGAATCAGAAACCGATACCAAAAAGAGAAAATGCTGCAAATTGCAAGAGTAAATTGCATGAACCATGGAAAAGGACGGTAAAATTTGTTTTAAACAAGATGCCACCAATAACTTGAGAATGTGTTAAACTATATCATTCAACGCCAATAGAAACACAGAACATTTGTATATTCTTCACCGACGAACTATAACTAGTTCTAAGCATCCATAGCTTTTGCTATACTGGACCGTATATCTCCACATCAGAGTACGATAGCCATATTACCCATGAGGTGTACAAAGATCGAACCAGAATCATTAATAAACCTAAGGGCGTAAGTTACATAAAACTAAGGCTGAAAATCAACCTACACATGCAAACGCCAAATATCATACGTAAATAACCAAGAATTGGAATATTGCAACAAGAATAAGATAAACAAGAATTCAATTCATAAATTGTAAAATAAGAGCAAGCCCATTTGAATTAAGAACACAAATTTATATGAAATTGCAAACAACCACGAACAAAAAGAAAAGAAATTGAGGAATTAGAAAGCACAAAGCGGAAAATCCAGATCATAACACCGCAAAACAGGAACAACCCAGATCGCACGACACAATTTAAGAACAACTGGAGCATCCTGCATCCCCAGATCAAAACCATTAAAGAAAAGACGAAAATCAAACACACTAAAGTCAAAAACCAAGAAAAACTTACACGTATGGAGACACAAAGAAATAGTGGTAGCATCCCTTAACAGCTTCTTACAAAGAGGACATGTCATGCATGCCTCTATTATTTCCCTCTTGACTTTCACCACCTGTCCCGCCATCTCTCTTGCTCTAAACTACATTACACCTGCAAAGAAAATCTAGAAACAAAAAGTGGGCAATCGGAGGAATAATAAGAAAGATCTAAACAAGTGAAGAATTTGCAGATTGAAGGTAAGAGAGCTAAAAACTAGGCGCGAGGTTTTGTGGGATTTTAGGACACGAAAAGAGGATGCGTTGGTTTTCTTGTTATTATTGCGGTTAGAGAGTGTGCGTGTATGTTTAATGTTCGATGAAATAACATGAAAGTTGAAAGCGTGTAAATGCGAAACACGCCGAATTCGTGCGTTTAAGTCTTTTAGTTTGGGAGATTACGATTATTTACCATTTGTAGGACTTAGGGAGGACCTGCAGGCTGCAGCTGCTGTGACTTGGGGTAATGTGCGCCGCTGGGTGTTTTCTTTCTTAACCTGCGCTCCCATGTCTTTTGCTTCCTACGTGTCCACCGTGTATGTAAGGTGATCATTTACTTTCTACTCGTTGCTTTCGAGGAATTATTTCTTTTTTTTTTTTCTGAAAAAAAGGAATTATTTCTTTTTTCTAAATGCTTTTTCCCTATATTTTGTTAAAATGAAATTTATAGTTCCATTATGGTATAACGAAAAAATCTTTGCTCTTTACAAATTGAAAAGAAATTAACACTTCAAGATTCGCAATTTTTTAATGAAAATTTTGTTTGCATTGCCTAGATTATATTGACTAATAAATTATAATTTGACATTACTCAGGCAAATGACAAATCCAAATATTTATAGTTATAGTTATTCATATGAATACATATTATGTATAAATTATATATGGATAAAACTATAATTTTTCAATATAAATATAGAAATAAATTAACATTTCAGTTTGATAGCAAGGAATTGTTTAATTAACAATTTATAAAAGAATTAAAATGTAACACTTAATATAAAATTGAAGAATTAAATAAATATATTTCTAATATTATTGTTAAGGCAAATTAATTTTTTTTTTTCTATTCATGTAAAACATATTTATAGAATACATATTTGACCAAAAACCATCTAAACCAATTAGAATGAAACTAAACATATTTAACCGCCCATCATAAATTTAATTTGTATTATGAGATCTCAAATCCAACCAACCCGAACCATTAACACCCGCTACAGCGCACAGCAATATCAAAGAAAGAACCATCAAGCATCAATTATTACTCAAGTAAGATGTGGGCTAAGGCCTATTCAAAGTATTGGGCCATTAGGCTCGGCCGGAAAGAAATGGAATAAAAGGCCCATGAATTGATCTGAGCTCTTGACTAATTGACACGACACCTATCTACTCAGTCTAATAATATGCAATGACACGTGGAAGACATTCATTGGTCCTCAAAAGATTAGGATATAAAATTTCTGGCTATTATCCATCTACACTTTAGGTCCAATAAAATATATCTTTGTTTTATATACTAAAGAGCAATTGAATTAATCTCTAAATCATTCACCACCTAGAAACAGATTCCTCCCACAATTTTCTCAAAATTTTCCATTACCCATCTGCAAAAATGGCCACCATCACATCCACCAAATTGGCAACAATCTTGCCAGCTGCAAGCTTCAAGGGAGCATCCAAGGTTCACTCAACTCATGTTCTTGGTAAGACATTACACTTTTCTTTTAGATCACTGCATGAAACTAAAATAACAAAACAAGTACTCTTTTAATCTATTGGAGACCAAATATTAAGGGTTTGTTTGACAAAATTAGCTGTTTTTGATAACTGTTAGTTGATTTAATAGTGTTTAATTGTAAGCTATTTGAGTAACTTTTCATAAAAAAAACTAAAATTTAAACATTACATTGAGTTAGTTTTTATAAAACATTACTTTAATCTCTAAAAATTAATTCAAATACTATAAAAAAAATAATATTTAATATTTTGAGCCCTACTTAGAAAGCTGTTGCTAAACATAACCCAAATATAATTTGTTATGTGCATTGTGGGTAGGGTTGCCTGCAATGAGAAGAGGAGGGTGTAAGGTTAGGTGCAGCATGGAGGAGAAGGGAGAGGGAAAAAGCAAGGTTGGGTCGGTGATGGCATTGGCAGCAACAGCAGCAGCAATGGTGGCAAGTACAGGTCCAGCCATGGCGTTGGTAGATGAAAGAATGAGCACAGAAGGGACTGGACTTCCATTTGGCTTAAGCAACAACCTTCTTGGATGGATACTTCTTGGTGTGTTTGGTTTGATTTGGTCCTTCTATACTGTCTACACTTCATCACTTGAAGAAGATGATGATTCTGCTTTGTCCCTTTAATTTTAAAATGTAGAATATAAGTTGAAAATTAGATGGGCATAATTAAAACTGCCTCTCTCTATGAATGCTCTGTTAATTTTCTCAATTGCAAAATTAATTATTATTGTGCTATTATTATCATCAATCATCAATCTTATTAGTGCAATAAAACAGTACTTAATAAAATCAATTCAGCAAGATTAGTATTTAAAATATTTCCAAAGGTATACATATAATTTTCAGTAATACATTACTCATGAGCCATTTGGTATTAGAATAATTAAATTTAATTCTGACTCATTAATCATATTGCTCAAATTAGAACCTAAATAAATTAAAATAAATTCATGTCAAATTGAAATGATTTTTGAATAAATTAACTTATTTATATATTAAATTATATTACGTGAATTTCAAATTTCGAAACAACGAACTTAAAAATTAAATTCAGGTTCACTTTCACTCGTATAATCACGCTTTAATATATTATAAAACTTAAAATCTAACCATTTAAACTTTAATTCTGAATAATAATAAATTATTATTATTATTATTCATTAAAAAGAATAATTTTAAACTTTAATTAATTTAAAAACCGCTTCCAGTCATCATCCCGCGATTAGAACAGAGGCCGGTGGTTCATCAAAATTACAAAACCAGAAAATTAAGTCTGCTTTATGCACGCCTTTCTCTGTCTCTCTGACAGTACTTCCCTTCTCTTCCTCCTCCCTTATCTCATGACTAAAACCTAGATCTTTCTCTTTTCTTTTATCTTTTTCTCAGCTTTTGTTATGGAACAAAACTTTAACCATCTATCTATATCAGATGATGAAGCCGATAGTTTTGAGATCGACACTCCACTTAAGATTGAAACTACCCCGTATGAGTTTTGCTTTGTGGGTATGTTTCTCACTTATAATATCATTAATTTTCAAGCCATGAGGAACACATTGGCAGATGTTTGGCACCCATTGGGAGGCATAGATATATCAGATCTGGGTGGAAAACGTTTCTTGTTTCGTTTCTTTAATCAAGTGGATTTTGTGTGGGTATGTTTCTCACTTATAATATCATTAATTTTCAAGCTATGAGGAACACATTGGCAGATGTTTGGCACTCGTTGGGAGGCATAGATATATCATATCTGGGTGGAAAACGGTTCCTGTTTCGTTTCTTTAATCAAGTGGATTTTGCTAGGGTCATGTGTGGATCCCCTTGGAGCTTTAATCGACACCTTTTGGTTTGGAAACCAATTGATCCAGGAGAGATACCTATGCATATGCCACTCTTACATGTTGATTTCTGGGTTTTAGTGGCAGATTTACCCAATGGTTATATGAATGAGGGGATAGCAAAAATGTTAGGAGATTTTGTTGGGTCTTTCTTGGAATATGATGGGGAAGCAAGTAGTTCTGATGCAGATGACTTTATGAGGATGAGAGTTCGACTAGACATACGTCAACCATTAAAGAGAAAGAAGAGGTTGAATGACAAGTCTGGTATGGTGTTCTATGTCAAATTCCAGTATGAAAAACTGAGTACGTTTTGCTTCCTCTGTAGACGACTTGGTCACTCTGAAGCCTTTTGTGATCTACGACTACATCTTAAACAGGAAGAAATTGTTTTTAGATGGGATGAAAGCTTACGGGCTCTGACGAGACGGCGGCGAAAACAGCACGATAGTCCATGGTTACGCCAGTACGGGCATAACGCAAATTTCGGAGGTGCAGCGGATCCGAAGGTAACTGATGGAGAAAAAAAGGACACAAATAAAGCACGAGATTTTCGCTTTTCTTTTTATGGATTGGGTTTGAATTGTGATGATGGTAGTTCATCTGAGTCAACTTCCAGAATGGACTTGGAAAACTATAATATGGCCCATGAGGCCCAGTTGGGCCAAGAAGAGGATATAGGTTTTGAGACACAAGATGACCCAAAAAAAAGACCAAGAAGTACTAGCAAAAACCCAGCTCCTGAAGTTTCTTTGACAAAGGATTCAATAGGAAGCAGAATTGTGGACAACAACGGACCACACAAAACTACATGCAATCCCGTTAAGCGGGATGGCCATGCACAATAAGACTCCTAAGTTGGAACTGTAGGGGTTTGGGCAATCCCCGAATAGTTCAAGCACTCAAAGATTTTACTTTGAGTAATAAGCCTGTAGTGGTTTTTTTAATTGAAACTTTAGTTCATAAACAAAGACTTGAGGAGGTGTGTAAGAGTATGGGTTATGATAACTGTTTTGGGGTTGATTGCAATGGTAGGAGCGTTGATTTAGGTCTTTTCTGGAATAATGAAACCATACTTGATGTTCAAGGTTTCTCGCAACATTGTATTGATGCGTGGATTAAAGAAGGAGATTATTCATAGAGACTAACGGGATATTATGGGGTAGCTGATAGAAGCAGAAGACGTGCTGCCTGGAATCTTCTTAGAGCTTTGAGGGGTTGTTGCAACAAACCTTGGCTTATATTAGAAGACTTTAACGATTTGGCCACACACTCTGAAAAGTGGGAGGGTTGTTCTTACCCACAAGCTCTTATTGATGGCTTCCGAGAGGCAATTGATGATTGTGGCTTGACTGATCTCCTGTCAGCTGGATACAGGTTTACATGGGCCATGAAACAGTTCGGAAAAGTTTACACGAGAGAGAAACATGACCGAGCCATGGCAGACAAGAATTGGTTCGACCATTTTAGGGATGCAAAAGTTAATACACTTATCTCACCAACATCTGATCACGACCCAATCATTATTCATACATCAGTAGCTACTACGACAAAATCTAAAGCATTTAAATTTTATAACGCTTGGCTCTGTGATTCGGGTATTCGAGAAGTGGTCGCCTCGACTTGGGTGGCGATAGAGACATGTGCATTTTGAAGAAGCAAGATCAGTGCATTGATGTCTTACAGGTTTGGGGAAGGAGCAGAAATAAAGAGTTTTGGCAGCAAAAAAAGAGTATTACTCGAAAATTAGAAATGGATAGGGAGGTGGATCCTGAAAATTGTAACCAAGCCTTGAAGGACAAGTTATCAGCTCTCCTAGCCGAGGAGGAAGTTAGAAAGAAGAGAAATGGATAGGGAGGTGGATCCTGAAAATTGTAACCAAGCCTTGAAGGACAAGTTATCAGCTCTCCTAGCCGAGGAGGAAGTTAGAAAGAAGCAAATTGCTAAACAATTTTGGCTGACCCAAGGAGATAGAAACAACAGATTCTTCCACGCAAAAACCAAAGCAAGACGCAGGAAAAATACAATAGTAGGATTACATGATGAGAATGGTAATTGGTCAACTAATATCTCTTGCATTAATTTCAAGTGCAAGTCAACATCTAGACGAAGTTTCGTACCTCACTTCTTTACTTTCTAGGAAAGTGAGCGAGGATGACAATGATTGGCTCACAGGGATTGTTTCGGAGGAGGAGGTTAGGTTGGCTATTTTTCACATGCACCCGGATAAGGCACCTGGCCCTGACGGACTTAATCCTGCATTTTACCAAAAATTCTGGGACATTATTGGCACTGATATTGTGAAGGCTTGCAATGACTGGCTACAAGCAAGTATTTTTCCTAATTCATTGCCAGATACTCTTATTGTGTTAATCCCTAAAATTGTTGACCCTAAAGAGGCTAAAGACTTTAGACCCATAGCATTGTGTAATGTTCTTTACAAAATAGTGTCTAAAGTTTTAGCTAATTCTAAAGTTTTAGCTAATCGTTTGAAAATTGAGTTGCCAAAAGTCATTTCTGAACATCAATCTGCATTCATACCGGGTAGAGCTATTACTGATAATATTTCAATGTCCTTTGAAATGATGCACAACCTTAAAAGACAGAAGTGTCGTGGGATGGGATCTTGTGCTATGAAAATAGACATTAGTAAGGCTTATGACCGGGTTGATTGGAATTTCTTGTGGGTTGTTATGCTTAAATTGGGTTTCTCAGAAAAATGGATAGAGTGGATGAAAATGTGTGTTTGTGGAATAAATTATTCTGTTATTGTTAATGGAGAGATTGTGGGCCCAATTTTGGCTAGTAGAGGGTTACAACAGGGCGACCCGATTTCACCCTATCTCTTTCTGTTATGTGCGGAAGGACTCACTACTTTATTTGATGAAGCTGAGAGAAAAGGCTGGATTCATGGGGGTAAGGTAGGTAGAAGTTGCCCTCGCATTTCTCATTTGCTTTTTGCAGATGATTCACTCTTCTTTTTTAAAGCTACTACGAGTGAAGCAACAAAAGTAAAAGAAATTCTGCAAAAGTATGAGAAAGCATCAGGACAAGCTATCAATTTCCAAAAATCTGGTTTGGTTTTTAGCCCTAATACAGATGTGACTAACAGATGTGACTATGAGAAGGCAGATTGAACAGTTACTGGGGGTCACAACATCAGGGGAGGATAGTATATACCTTGGTTTACCTTCAGTTATTGGACGTAACAAGAGACATATTTTTGGCTTTCTAAAGGACAGAATGTGGAAAAAGATGAACAGTTGGTCAAATCATTTTCTTTCCAAAGCTGGTAAAGAAGTGCTTATCAAATCAGTGCTTCAAGCTATTCCATCCTACTGTATGAGTTTTTTAGAATTGCCCTTGACATTTTGTAATGAAATCCATAAGATGATGAATCGATTTTGGTGGCGAGGAAAGCAGGATGTAGGAAAAGGAATTCACTGGTTTAGTTGGGAAAGAATGTGTGGCAGTAAAGATAAAGGAGGTATGGGTTTCAAAAATATTAGATGTTTTAACATTGCTATGCTTGCCAAGCAAGGGTGGCGTTTGCTAAACTATGAGAACACCCTTTTCTATAAAGTTTTCAAGGCAAAATATTTTAGAAGAAAGGATTTTTTGGAAGCACCTTTGAGTAAGAATCCTAGCTTTGTGTGGAAAGGTATATGGTCAGCTAGCAAGGTGTTGAAACATGGTGTACGGTGGAGAGTTGGCAATGGGGAAAAAATTAGGGTGGTTCATGATCCATGGTTACCAAAAGAGGCTCCATTTAGGGTAGTGGGTTGGCAAGGATTTATAGATGAGGGTTTGAGAGTTAAAGATTTATTTATGAGTGGGGAGAGAAAATGGGATGCTGGAAAAATCATCAGTTTATTTAGTGTGGAAGAGAGTCATCAAATCCTTAATATACCCCTTAGCATTAGAGATAGAGAGGATGTGCGAGTGTGGCATTTTGATAGAAAAGGGGTATATACTGTCAAGTCAGGTTACAAAGTGACTTGCGAGATTGGGTTGGTGAGTTTGGGTCATGGTGGAAGACAGTGTGGGATATTGAAACGCAACCTAAGATTAAAGACTTAATTTGGAGAGTTCTTAGAGGGGTCTTACCAACAAGAGAGAGACTTAAGAATAGGGGGGTTACTGTTAATGAAGGATGTCCTTTATGTGGTGAGGTAGAGTTAATGAGGGATGTCCTTTATGTGGTGAAGTAGAAAGTATTGATCATGCTTTAATCAATTGCCACTTTGCTAAAAGAGTTTGGAGTCTTGGAGGCTATCTTGTGCCCAACACTAACATTGCTTTTAAAGATTTTTTTATGCAGGTCATACAAAAAAATGAAAGCTATAGAACTGCTAAATTTGCTAATATTCTATGGGGTATTTGGCACATGAGAAACAAACGGCTTTGGGAAAATGTTCATTTAACTTCATTTAACTGCTCTTCAGGTCTACACGTAGCCAAATTGCACTCCATGCAAGGCCATTCACTTTGGCTCGACGGCATTGCTCAAGTGGGTTTGATACATCATCCTATCCTAGTGACAAATTAAAGTTCAAAGGGTCAAAATATTGACAACTTCCGGTACACCAACATTAGCACCAAGTCTACCCACTCCAAGAACCACGTCTAGTTCATCAATTTGCAAGATCCTATTAATGCAAAAACATTGGCATGACATTACAGATGGTGCCATTTTTGCTGCATCAAAAATGTTCTGGATTTGGTATTACATTTGGAAGATGATGAAGGCATTTTCTTGAAAAAGCATTTCAGGCTTATTATGAAGGTACCACCAGACTCTGCCCATAAGTTGAGGCGATTGGCTTCTTCGTCAAGGACTACTTTTTGTTGTGCACTTCTTCCACAATGCAGGATGTTTATGTGGAACTCGCAGCTCGATTGCTCTTCGTCAAGGACTACTTTTTGTTGTGCACTTCTTCCACAATGCAGGATGTTTTTATGTGGACTCGCAGCTTGTTATTTTTGCTCTCAACTCTAGTGTCCCGGATTTCTCTTTTTTTGGTCTTGTAATCTCAGATTGTCTCTATTTATTAGGACTTCGCCCTGATTTTGAGGTCCGTTGGGTTCGCAGGCAAGCTAATATAGGAGCTCATACTCTAGCTAGAGCTGCCTATCGCCATACTCAGCCATGTTATTTGGGATAGTATTCCACCCTTTATGTTGAATTTGTTCTCTTAAGTAATGAGATTTTATCTTTTTAAAAAAAAAAAAAGAACAGAGGCCGGTGCGTTAATACGCATTTCTCTCATTAGGGTTTAGAGGTTTCTCTTTCACTTTTCGATCCTGCAATATCCCATGGCTGCAACGGCAGTCGCTCAGCCCAGATCCTCAAAGACCGAATCCTATGTCGACAATAAGCGCAAAGAAGACATCCGGAACGCTAACATCGTGGCTGCCCGAGCCGTGGCGGACGCCGTTCGTACCAGTCTCGGACCGAAAGGAATGGACAAAATGATTTCCACCGCAAGCGGCGAAGTCATTATCACCAATGATGGCGCTACCATTCTCAATAAAATGGAGGTGCTTCAGCCAGCCGCGAAAATGCTCGTTGAGCTTTCAAAGTCTCAGGATGCCGCAGCTGGTGACGGCACTACTACCGTCGTTGTCATTGCCGGTGCGCTTTTGAAACAATGTCTCTCGCTTCTTTCTAGTGGAATCCACCCCACGGTAATCTCTGATTCTCTTCATAAAGTTTCTATTAAAGCTATCGATGTATTAACTGCCATGGCTGTCCCTGTGGAACTATCGGACCGTGAATCCCTAATTAAATCTGCAAGTACTTCTTTGAATAGTAAAGTAGTGAGTCAGTATTCTACGCTTCTAGCTCCATTAGCAGTAGATGCGGTTCTCTCTGTTGTGGATCCTGCCAAGCCTGATATGGTAGACCTAAGGGATGTTAGAATAGTGAAGAAGTTAGGCGGGACTGTGGATGATACGGAGATGGTTAAAGGTTTAGTATTCGATAAGAAAGTTAGCCATGCAGCTGGTGGACCAACACGTGTTGAGAATGCAAAGATTGCAGTGATTCAGTTCCAGATTTCACCACCAAAGACTGATATAGAACAGAGCATTGTGGTTTCTGATTACACCCAGATGGATAGGATTTTAAAGGAAGAGAGGAATTACATTTTGAGCATGATTAAGAAGATTAAGGCTGCTGGTTGCAATGTATTGTTGATTCAAAAGAGCATTTTGAGAGATGCTGTAACAGATTTGTCACTGCATTACTTGGCTAAAGCTAAGATTTTGGTAGTTAAGGATGTAGAGAGGGATGAGATTGAGTTCATAACTAAGACCTTGAACTGCTTGCCCATTGCAAATATTGAACATTTTAAGGAGGAGAAGTTGGGGTATGCAGACCTTGTTGAAGAGGGCTCACTTGGGGATGGCAAGATTGTGAAGATTACTGGGATTAAGAATATGGGAAGTACTACTACAGTTCTTGTTCGGGGATCTAATCAGTTGGTTATTGATGAGGCAGAACGGAGCTTGCATGATGCATTATGTGTGGTTAGATGTTTGGTGAATAAGCGATTCTTGATTGCTGGTGGTGGGGCTCCTGAGATTGAGCTGTCTAGGCAGCTTGGGGCATGGGCGAAGGTGCTGCATGGAATGGAAGGGTACTGTGTGAAGTCTTTTGCAGAAGCACTTGAGGTCATACCTTATACTCTGGCAGAGAATGCTGGTTTGAATCCCATTGCAATTGTGACCGAGCTGAGGAATAGACATGCTCAGGGGGAGATCAACACAGGCATCAATGTCAGGAAGGGGCAGATTACAAATATCTTGGAGGAGAATGTGGTGCAGCCACTGCTCGTGAGCACAAGTGCAATTACACTCGCAACTGAGTGTGTGCGGATGATTTTGAAGATTGATGACATTGTTACTGTCAGGTAGATTGAAATTGGAAATGAATTTGTTTGACAAGCTACATTGGTTTCTGTACTATGATGAACTAGCAGTTGTTCCTTTTCTGGGAAGTTTCACAGTTAAAAGTTTTGATGATTCCTGTATTTGTTTGGTTAATCTTTTACATGATCTGAGTATTGATGACTATGGTTTGTAACTCATGATAGTTGGGTTTCTATTTTTTTCATATTAGTCTGAACATTTTGGATCAGTAAATGAAAACCTCTTTCCATTAGTGTTCTGTGTCTAAAGTCTAAACTTACAAATCCAATTTCTAGCTTCTGGTTTCAGCACTGCTTCTGTTTTAAGTAATAATCTGAAGTTGGGTATATCTGATTCTTCAAACGACTTGCTACTTCATTACCATTTGAAAGCTTACTTTTTGACATCGATGATCTTAATGCTTTACATTGTGCGAGACACATTCAGTTCAGATACTAGATTATATATTTGGTCTTGGCTAACAAGCAAGTTGCTCTGTTAACCAAAGCACATTTACAAAGAGTGCCAATTTAGGTTTTAATGGGATCCCTTCCAATGCCTGTATCCCTCATTAGATCTTAGAAGGGTTTTAAATCCAATATTAGGAAATTTTCTTTTTTCCCTGAAATTTAGCCTTCGTTCTCCCAATTCATCTATTTCCAGAAAAATTATTATTCGCAAACAGCCGAACTGGAAATGATTTTTGTTCAAGGTACCCCTCTCATTAAAATTTTAATTTCAAAGTAGTAACAGTCAAACACTTTTTAGCCAGTATTAGAAGTACTTTGTTCATTAGATATTGCAAATTTTACATGCTTGCAATCTTATCCAAATCTGAAATTTGTACCATTGTACACATGACATGATATTATATAGGAATTTTTATTGAAATCACCACAATCTACAAAGTCGTAGTTGACAATAAGGTTGCCTCGATTATACCCTCTTCCATCGGTGTCTAACGGCCGGAAAACGCCTTCGTAGTCCAAGTCCAACCCTCCATTACTACACTGATCAACTATTCTCACTGTCACCTCTGCTCCTGTTTCTGCATTAGTCAGCTGAACACAGCAAAGGATTAACCTCAGTAGATAAATAATCTAATTAAGAGCATGCATTTTATTATCAACTATACAATTTTCCTTTTAGAAACATGTTTCCTATCATTAAAAATCAATTAATAGGAACATATATCATAATATAATAATAAATTAGTCATGCATGATTTTGAAGACTCGTTCTCAAAATTCAAACTTCCTATCGAATCATATAAATAAGGTTAATTCAAAGATTTTTTATTAAAAAATTAATTTGGAACTGATCGATTCAATCGATTTTCAATTTAATAGACTTGGATCCTTGAAAAAAAAAGAAGGAAAAACTGAAATCAAATTGTTTTTAAAAGTGACCTTAATTGAGTATATATATATATATATATATGTGCGCGCGCGCGCTTTTTAAAAGTTCTTACCCTTAAGCATTTGCCACAAGCAGCTTGTCCTTGAGGTCCGACCGGTCCACAGAAGGCAGTCCATCCATACTTCTGGCGCCATGCGAGAGGCTTGTCGGCATCCCAAGTAGCACAATAAGCGCTCACAGCATTCAAGTCCCACCCATTTTGTGCAGGATTGAAGTAATGGTAGGTTGCTCTCACATTAGAAGCACTTTGGGAACTCACTCCAGCTATCAGAAATGCCAGGAACACAGTGCACAAGGTTATGCGGGTTACCCTCCCCATGATCTTTGTTGTATTTTGAATTTGATTTTGGTGTAAGAATAGTGGAACTTATGGAGAAGTTCACAGAAAATTTTGGAGAGATAGACGGAAATTCTAAGTTGCATTGACTGATGACCTTGACTTCTTAGACCCAATTCTTGATTACCCTAACTTAATTCATGGCCTTTCTTTTTTTTTTTTTTTTTTTTTTTTTTTTTTTTTTTTTTTCTTTTTTTTTTTTTTTTTTTTTTTTTTTTTTTTTGCAAGTTGCTCATCATGTTGACAAATCTAAAGCATTGAAATTTCAAACTTTACAAATACTGATTATCAAATGAAATCATGGTACTTTTCGAGATAGAAATTAGCAAAAAAACCGAAACATTATTTTTTACTTATAGTCTAATGATTAGAGGCGAGAGAAAACGTATTTTCCTAGTATATGAATCAGTTTGATTATTCAAAACCAAATTACATATTTTTAGCATAAAATTTAATTTTGTTAGTTATGTATAAAATCGAATTGAAATTAAAACTTAACCTATCACCTTTAAGATAACTAATTGAATTGAAATGGTTCATTTTGGCTTTCTGAGTCCGGATTGAATATTGATGATTCCTACTGATGAATAGCGTATGTTGAAAATATATGAATAATAGTCTAGAAAAGAAAATTTTGATATTTATGTTTTTTCTGTTTGTTTCTTGTATTGTGCCTAAGGTCTTTGGACCCAAAATAATTCATAAGCTTAGATTTTTGGTACGTTAGATCGATGATGAACATATAATTAATACATAAGAATAAAAACAACTTAAATGTAGACAAAAAAATATATATATAAAAAGAAGAAAAAACAAATGGATATGATGAGGTCTTTACGTATATATTTACTTTCACCGAAGACCTTGCGATTACAATCAGCCAAGTTTGTTATTATTCAGGGAACATTTATTTTCTGCAATCTTATTAATAATAGCTAATTTTTACTCTTATACATGATAATATGGGAGTTATATTTAATGGAACCGATTGGTTTAATCACCACAATCTACAAAATCGTAGTTGACAATAAGGTTGCCTTGAGCATACCCTCTTCCATCGGTGTCTAGCGGCCGGAAAACGCCTTCGTAGTCCAAGTCCAACCCTCCGTTGCTACACTGATCAACTATTCTCACCGTCTGTTGATCTCCTGTTCCTGTATTAGTCACCTGAATGCAACAAAGGATTAATTTCAGTAAAGTAAATAGTCAAACTGATGGCAAGTCTTTCATTATCAACTATATACTCTTCAAGAAAGCTTATATATATATGATATATCTATAAAGAAAGCTTATTATATTATATATATATATATATATATATATATATATATAAATGTAAAATGTGTGATTTTCTGATATATATGTAAAATGTGTGATTTTCTGAATATGTTTTCTAAATCTATTACCCTTAAGCATTTGCCGCAGGCAGCTTGTCCTTGAGGTCCCACTGGTCCGCAGAAGGCGGTCCATCCATACTTCTGGCGCCATGCGAGAGGCTTGTCGGCATCCCAAGTAGCACAATAAGCGCTCACAGCATTCAAGTCCCACCCATTTTGTGCAGGATTGTAGTAATGGTAGGTTGCTCTCACATTAGAAGCACTCTGGGAATTCACTTCAGCTGTAAGAAATGCCAGGACCACAATGCACAAGTTTCTGATAAGAATTACCCTCCCCATGGTTTAACTTTGTGTGTGTTTGATTTTGGTGCAAGAATGGTTGAATTTATAGGAGAAGTTTTTAGAGAGAGTAGATTGGAAATTTGGAATTTAATTGTGAATATTCCAGTACAATGTTGACAATGTTAACTTAATTCTGCTTCTACAACTCTTGATTTGCTATGCTATTGACAAATCCAATACGTTGAACTTTCAAATCCAACGAAAAAAAAAAAAGAAAAAGGAATTTCTTTACAAATAAACTAAAATCTGGCATATAAATATATATTGCATGATGTATGTAGAAATTTCTGAGTTACAGCCCATAAAAGAAAATTTAGTATTTGTGATTTTGGTTTTTGTTTTACGTATTGATTTTCTTCCTTGGAATAGAATTTGACTCTCTTACTTTGACACGACTCCCATATTTTCCTTGATGGTTTAATTAAGTTGGTCTTAATTAGATTTAAGTGGCTAATTAGTCAATTATTTCAGCAGGGTTTTCCACCCACGACGTAACCCAGTTTGTTAAGCATCCCTTTCCTTTCCTGCCAATAAAGAGGATAGCTACGATTGACAGATTTCATTTTTGCCCAACTTCTCCAGCTGTAGATACTGTTGAGCTTTTAATGGAGTTTTCTAAATTTTTCCAACTGGATTAGGTACTGTAATTAAAAACCCTTTATTAAATTCAATAAATAATCTACTACACCCTCCATTTCAAAATAAATATCATTTTTCTTTTTTTTCTTTTATTTTTAAATGCGTGTCGTTTTTATAATTTCAAGACTCCATTAATTTTTTTCTTAGAGTCCAAAGAAAAAACTCGATGTATATCGTTATTTCTCTAAAGAATACTATCTCTAAATAATAGTAATAGATAGCAGTTTAACTCTTCCCTTTTCTTATGATATTATTTTCAGATTTTTATATTTTTAGAATATGTAAATGATGATGACAATAAGCTAAGTTCACTTGGGATTTGTGGTGCTAAAGAAGATGGGACATTTTCTAAGATAAGATTTGATTGAGAGGCGGCTACATGAAGATGGCTGAGAGTTGCGTAAGGTCGTTGTTCAAAACGACACGATGCGTCGTTAAAAATTTCAACAATAAAGAGGGTAAGGCCAAACTTCATAGACTAATAATTACTCAATTTTTGACATTTTAATACTTAATTTTTTGAAGTACTCCCTCCCTTCATAAATTATCTTAGTCTGACTAATATACAGGTTAATAAAACTTAATTTATATAATTAAACTTTAATTATTATTTTTTTTAACTTATCCTTGTAAAATATTAAATTATTATTGATATTAATCGAAACTATAATTATTTATTTAATAATGAAAGGACAAGAGTTATAGAACATAAGGAGATTAGAAGTATGAATTTTAAAATATTTATTAAGATTATTAAAGAAAAATTTTTTAAAATCACAAAAGAATATGTTCTTTTTTCCGATGCAACTTTTACATTAAAATCTTTACTTTCATTGATTTGGTCCATAAATGGAGTTTCGATCTAATTAAGTGAAGAAAAAATTATTGTATTGAAAGGAAAGAATTAATTAAAGATTATCTCTTCATTCAAACACAAGAAATCTTCCTTCAAACTGAATTTGCTTTAGTTAACTTAGAAACGTGCAACTGTTTCCTTAACAGAGTCAAATGAATGAGCTCTGTATATTCATATTTTTATTTTTCACTCAAGAACGTGAGATTACAAGCAGCGAGCTTTCTTATTATACAGGAAACATTTATTTTCTGCTAATACAGGAACTACATTTATTGGAACCAATTAATAAATTAATTGGTGTAATCCCCACAATCTACAAAGTTGTAGTTGACTATAAGGTGGCCTTGATTATACCCATTTCCGTCTGTGTCTAACGGCCGGAAAACGCCTTCATAGTCTAAGTCCAACCCTCCATTGCTACACTGATCAACTATTCTTGCTGTCACTTGAGCTCCTGTTCTTGTGTTAGTCACCTGAACATAGCAAAGAATTCATCTCAAGTAAATAAATAAGAGCAAGCCTTTATTATCAACTATATATTTTCCTTTTCTGACCAAGAACTAACCCTAAATTAGTTTATTATGTTTTAAAGAACTCTTACCCTTAAGCATTTGCCACAAGCAGCTTGTCCTCGAGGTCCGACCGGTCCACAGAAGGCAGTCCAACTCTTACCCTTAAGCATTTGCCACAAGCAGCTTGTCCTCGAGGTCCGACCGGTCCACAGAAGGCAGTCCATCCATACTTCTGGCGCCATGCGAGAGGCTTGCCAGCATCCCAAGTAGAACAGAAAGCACTTACAGCATTCAAATCCCATCCATTTTGTGCAGGATTGTAGTAATGGTAGGTTGCTCTCACATTAGACGCACTTTGGGAACTCACTCCAGCTATTAGAAATGCCAGGAACACAGTGCACAAGGTTATGCTAATCACCTTCCCCATGGTTAAACTTTGTTTGTGTTTTGATTTTGGCGTAAGAAATGGATGAATTTATAGGAGAAGGTCCTTGAAAATTTTAGAGAGAGTTGGAAATTTGGGATTTAATTACGTTGCACGGACTGATGACTTTGAATGTTAAGAGTCAATTCTTGATCTTATCCGGAATTTATTCTTGCCATGATTTTTGCAAGGTTCTTCAGTTCTTGATTTGTTACGATGTTGATTAATCCAATACATTGAACTTTCAAATCCAACCAAAAAGAAGAAAAAAAAAAAAAGGGAATTTCTTCACGAATAAACTTTTATACTTTTCAAGTTAATTTGATTAATACATCTGTTATAGTCTATTTACACCTAACTCAGAAAGCTACAAGTTCGGTTTTTGACTTCTTGGTTCTAGAACACCATGAAATATGAGGAGGAACTCCACAATTGTAATGATATATATATATATATATAATATATATATTATATTATTTATATATATAATATATATATATATATTTTTTTTTTTTTTTTTTTTTTTTTTTTTTGAAAGATGATATAAATAAGATTACAGAAGGCATCAAAATTTTTGAAAGATGATATAAAATAAGATTACAGAAGGCATCAAAATTCAGGATTTTTTATATTATTTAACATTTTTTAACAATGAGCTAAGTACACTTGGGATAGTACTTTTATTTTATTTTTTAAAATATGTAAAATGATGATAAGTTCACTTGAGGGAGCCCAATTTGCAAATTGATAGTAATTTCCAATTTTGCCCATGTCTGACTATTTTTAGCTTGGGCCTGTCTTAAGCTGGCGGTTAGAGTCAATATCAATGGGCTTGGTTAGTTTCAAGGTTTATTACCCTTATGGGCTTTCAACATTATTGGGTTCTGACAAAATATATCGGCTCGCCCAATCCATACAATGAGTAGCATTTGAAATAGGCAATTTTATAGTTCTTACTGCAGGAAAAAATAATAATAATATATATATATATATATCAAAATTTGAATAGATCGATCGAAATAACATTATAAGCTACAGGGATAGTCTTTGATTAAAAAAAAATTTGGCTGAACGGATCATCTATAAATAATGTTAATATACAAAAAGTTTGCATATGTTTATCTTAATTATGCATAATTATATTGTTATTATTAATAATGTTTTTGGTTAAAATGATGACACTTATGACCTTTTTCTCTTGCTAGCTATGATGGGATAAACGTAAATCAAAGACCAAATGATTACTCCTTGAAATGCTTAAAGGTGGCCTGCGCATGATACAGACCAAGTGGAGTTATTCATTATGATATGAATCCAAAACCGAAAAAATTAAATTAAAAAGTAAAAACTGGTTTAGGTTTTAGGTGCTCTTTTTGGTGAGACAGTATTCGGCGATAACTTTTTAAATAACATTTCAAAACATTAAATACAGTGTTTAATAATATAACATTTAAATTAATTTTTAGAGATTTAAATAACATTTTATAAAAAATTTCTCAAATAGCTAACAGTTAAATACAATTAAAACAATTAATTTTGACGATCAAAGTTTCACTTGAGTACTCCTTTTGAGTGCTCTCTTATTCTTATAGCGTAGCTATCAAGAGTTTAGGGATAGCTAAATACCTTTTTGCTAAGTGCATGATATTCCGGATAGCATTGTTTCTTTTCAAATTAAATCAACTTTTGTAGGAGAATATTAGGATATAACACTAGTGGTGAGAGATCAAAATCATTCCCTTATAATCGAATATGATTTGATTTTGTAAAAGACTACATTTTGGGACTCACGATTGGTGATTATAATTATTTAATCCGGTTCAAAATGCATGTAAAACATATTAAATTCTAGAAAATTAAACAATTTTTTTTCTTTTTAAAAAAAGAGGGAATCAAAGGAATAAAAATATACTTTCACAAGCTCATAATCCCAACACCTCAAATTGACAAGCACATGGACCAACGTGTGTTAATTTGCAACTTGTTTTAATACTATTCATTCTTGCTGTGTACATATATATGTTGAGTTAGTAATTAATTAATTAATTAAGTAGTTAATTAACTACTCACTAAGGACGGAAAGATTATATTCTTGAAATAAATTTTCCTTCTTGGTTTGAAGAATCTTTAAGAGGGAAGGAAAAATCTAACAAATCCCAAGTTTTATGGTAGAGATCAAGAAGAGAATATATGTATTCTCCTACGTACTTAAAAAGGAAAAAATACATAACCATCTTTCATGAATCTTGTGGCATTAAGCATTTTTTTTAACACTAAAATTAGAAAGACAACTTCGCAAATCCCTAGCTTTATGTTCCAAATCAACACACATGCATGCGTGATCGTTCCAAGCATTTCCCACCTAAAACATATAGTTGATTTAGGTTGAATAATTATTTTACTTCCATCTAATTTCAACTCATTCCGTGGACCAAATGAGATCCAACACTGGGAGAAATTTTTTTTTTTCAAATATATTGTAATTAATAGTTCTAATAAAAGTTTCATTCAAACTATATACATAAGACTTAATCTCAATAATCAAACCCTAATATATATTAATCCAATTCTTGGCATTGACAGCCAGAAAAAATGCATACGTCTAATCTAACCTAAGCTGACTTTCTCCTTTCCTTTCTCGATTTATTATTATTTAAATATACTCCTTTCCTTTCTCGATTTATTATTATTTAAATATATATATATACTATTATATATATATATATATATATATATTATATTTATGGTCTAAAGCTCCCAATAATGGAGTTTGGTGTGGCTGCAAAGACAAGACAAAATAATATTATATATTTAATGGTCTAAAGCTCCCAATAATGGAGTTGGTGTGGCTGCAAAGACAAGACAAAATAAAATAGTACATGCCCCAGCAGCAAGCACATGGGCTTGCTCCACCTTATCCCCTTCTTCATGGACCGTAATTCATTGCCTCCTCATCCAATCACATAAAATAATTAATTAAAAAATTCAGAATTTTTTTATAAAAATCAAAGGCATATAATAATAATAATACATACATACATGTTGCTTAGAATCACATAGTACATTGCGTATAAAATACATATGCCATATATAATGGCATTAAGCTAGCTCATTGCGAAATTGCGGAGGGAGCAAAAACACTCGTGACAGCCAGAAAAAAATAATTAATTGAAAACAAAAGGTCATTATTAAAACAAAAACAACCATTTCACAATACTTTTAATATCAAAAAAAAAAAAAGAAGAAGAAAGGTCACATGTGATAGGAAAAAAAAAGTCTTATAAACATCTCCTATATAATATTATTATTACTTGATGACCTAACAAGTCCCTGAATATGTTCCTCGTATGTTTATATTTCATAAGAGAGACACAAAAAAAAAAAGGAAGAACAAGGGCAAAAAAGTGAAAAAAAAAACATGGTACAAGACATTTCCAAACTCCCTGCTCAATTCCTCTTGAGCCGGTCTGATTTAATTTCCTTTCATCGTTGACTCTCATGGAATTGGAAACAACAAAAAAAACTTCTTCAACTCCTGTTCTTGCACTTCTCCACAGCTCTAGGGGCTGCAATAATTAATAAAAACTCATATAATTAGCAATTTGCTATGCAAATTTTGATTTATGATGATATTTATTGGGTTGGATCCAATTTGTTATAAGTATTTATTCGTAATACTAACCAAGTCCGATCGCTTCAGAGCCTTTCATTATTCTTAATCGTTTGCATGAATCGATAAACATTCTGCGAAAGTTTTGAATCATTGAGTAAATAGATTAATAATCAAATTTTACATATATATAAGTCAACAAAATTTTTTATTAATTAGGGTTAATTATGAAAAAAGGATAAACTTACTCCCAAGGCACATCTCCTACAAGCATCCAGTCTCCATCTTTGTCTTCATAAGTTGGTACATACTCAGAACCATTCAAAAGGTCAATCAATTTGCTCTCATTCATGAAGTCTTTCATTCCTTGTGATCCACAATTACCTTCAGGACATTAATTAAACAAGATCAGCTTTTTAATAAATTAAATCTTCATTTCCTTTAGATCTGATTAATTATTAACATTTTATTAATTACCAATTGTAAAGGAGCTGAACATTTTGCCTAGAGCGTCTGAGAGTTCTTGGTAGCTCTTGTACAATTTCAAGTCCACTTTTCTTAAATATGGAGCTCCGTCCATGCTAACCTTCACAAAAGCTGCACTGCTGCTACCGGCAGCAGTGGCGGTGGCTGCCTTTTCAGCCTCATCACCATTGCTTTTCTGGACAGACATGACATTCTTTCGGAATGATCGAATTGGTGGCCAACCCACAACCTGTGCTCTGAAATTAATATATCATTTTCAATCTCAGTTACAACTTGATTATTATTGATTAAAATTTCTAAATTTGAAATCTAATTCCTGTGAAAATTTTATAGAATGGACATAAAGCTATGTATCTTATGGTCCCCTATCAAGAAATAGAAAGGCAAATTAACTTTTATATTTATGTAACATTTTAATTTAATGGTCAACAAAAAAAAAAAAAAGCTGAAATAATCCTTATTCGAAAAATCCGTACGATTGAATAATTTTATTCACGGGCGTAGAGGTTTTGCTTTCTTAGCTGTAGACCATCTCTTTGTTCTTCTCCTTTATCCTGAATTGTTTGGCTGTCGAGAAAAGTAAAGATTCCTTATGTTTTGTTCTTTTTCTTTGCTCCCGACAACCAAACCAAAGCCACGAAAAATCCACATTTCAAGAAAATAATGCACAGACTAAATCTCTCTTAAGTTCCTTCCTAACTACTGCTGTAATAATCATTAAGGACAACATATAACTAACTAATGCATCTGAAAGAGAAGAAAATTTACGTGTAAGAAAAAAAAAATTTTTTGAAATCCATGGCTGTTAAATTGTTCTAAGACATTATACTATCCATGATTCATGATAATTACTAATCAAATCCCAAATCCAAGTTTTTGCTCATATAATTAGTAATCTAGCAAAGCCGCAAAACTACATAAAAGCAAAAACAAAAGAGAGACAGAGAGAGAAATTACTTGGCTGGTGGTTTTGCAGGATCATTAGAAGAAGGAACATCAGTTTTCTCCTTCATCTTCTCCTCTTTCCCCGACTCTTTCGTCGAAAGATTAAGCTTTAAATCCACAGTTTCTGAAAATCCTCTCTTTCCATTATTAATCTTTGCAATTTGATCACCTTCATTTGTAGTATTACCTCCACCTCCACCTCCACCTCCAGGTAGCCCTAAACGAAGTTCTGTCTCCTCAAAATTAATCGTGACATATTTGTCAGCCTCTGCGCTCATTATGCTTATCTTTTTCACAGATTTTACGTAGAAAAACCCTAATTTCTTCTCCTGTCCCTCTCTTCTTTTTTCTCTGATAAGTGATATCGCTACTATACTGAGTACTGAGAGTTTAGGTTATGCGAATGAAAAAAAACAAGTAGGAGAGAAATGTATAGCGGAAGAAGAAAAAGAAGAAGGGGCCAAAAGAACTATAGTAAGGTGGGGGGAGTTTGAGACGGTGTAGATGTTGCCACGTGGACGGAAGAGGTGGTTGGACAGTCGACGGTTTTGTCGGGAGAGTGATGTCATGGATGATGTCATTTTTAGAATGATTGTGGCGAGGCTAGTGGACAAGTCGAGTTGGCGCTGTTTGCCCTTTATTTGTTTACTTGGCTGCACCCAATAATCCCCTGCTTAATTATTTATAAATCATTATTAATTAAGACTTGTAATTACAATACAAATCATATAACAAGCAAAAGCTTGTTATACTTTACAATTCTCTTTCAATAATCTCCTCTTATATATATACATCCAATTGCCAATATTCTCTGAACTTTTAATATTAATAATAAGATAAATATATGTAATGATAATGTGTTTATTTTTATTAATGACACAACCAAGTTGCTCTTATTGTAATATGAAAATAAAATGTCAAAACAAATAAAAAAAAAGGAAAACGATGTATTTAATAAAAAGGGGAAAAAAGTTTGTATAAGTATTATAATTTGGTGGATCAAATTCTACATCACTCTGACTCCTCTCATTAAATTCAAGATAAGGTGCATGATCCTACGAATTATTTCGATAATATAGTAGTATTGATTCATAGGTAAATATATTTTGATTTTTTAAATAATTTTAATGAATTTTGTTCTAATTAATTTTTGAGCAAGTCCGTAACAATTTGATTCATTTATTAATCTGAAAATTGTATATTTTCCAAGTCAAATGAATTTGTAAGTCAAAATAAGGACAGTTGAAGTTAGGAGATTACTATTGAAGAAGAAATTAGTAGAAATAAATGTAAAAATTTCATTACCATAAATATTAGTAAATAGAGAAAGCAGATAGTACTGATCCTGTCACTCCAAGGTTACATTGGAAACCTTTTCAATCTTTACAGGGTCGTGTATAATATGTCCACTTCGAGTGGTGACCATTAGACCACCTTCATAATGGCGGAGAATGCGTGCCACCACCACCTTGTGTATGTGCAAAGATTATGCAACCTAATGCTCTTCCGGGCAAAAAAAAAAAAAAATTCTTAATTTAATTAATTTTATATTATATATCCAATTGACACTATAAAATAATTAATTAGTTAACTTTACCCTCCAAAAAATAGGTAGAAATTGTTTTTTTTTTTCATTTGACCTTTTGTTTATTCTTCCAATTTAATGATATATGATATATACTACTCTTGAACGGGTTTTTTTTAGCAATAATTGGTACCAAGATTAGCTTTCATATAATATAATAATAAATTTATTTAATCAACAAGTGCTGATATAAGTGTTGACACTCTTATGAGATCGATATTTATAAATGGAGTAAATATTCACCGTGAATACTTTATTTTTAATGGGCTGATTTGGTAGGTAGGATTTACTATTTAGTTCTATTCCAACTGGTTAAGAAAAAAGATAATTAATTTATTTAAAAAAATTTATTGTTTGTGATTTAGTTTAAATAAATATTGTAGGAAGCATCGAGGAATGAAGAAGAGACATGTGGAGCAGTGGAGCCCGGGATCTTGTTTGTCAAAACAAAGAAAGTCAGCAGAATCAGCATGTGATATTGAGATTGATTGGTTCAGAGAAGTATTAGATGGGCCCCCACCTAATTTTTCATGAGACATCTCTGCACTGTATCATTACTCTCCATGTGCCCTGTGTTTTTTTTTTTTTTTTTTTTTTTTTCATGAGACATCTCTGCACTTATCCATTATCCTCCAATGTGCCGCGTGTTTTTTTTTTTTTTTTTTTTTTTTTTTTTTTTTCCTTTTTATTAAGGAAATTTAATAGACGGGATATTATGTAAGGTAGTATACAGCAAGACTCTCTCATGTAAAAAAAAAAAAAAATCCTTCTTATTTTAAATCTTGACTTTGCCGTTGTTAATAACTAAAAACATAAAAAAAAAATACAAATTATACAGATAATTACCAATTATAAACAATCTATAATCGTTGCCCGTTACCGGTATTAGAGGTTAAATGACCGGTAGCGATTAGCGACATTAATATTAATGAATACCGGTAATCAATGTTTTTTTCTCTTAAAAAAAGAAAATTATTTTTGTTTAAAAATGATTTTTTTTATTTGATTTTAGAAACATTTTTCATTGATTAACATTTTTAGCATCCTAAAGATTAAAAATTTTAAAAATATTTTTCAAATAAATTATTTTTTAAAAATAGATTGAGTCTAAATTATCTTCTCTTTTTTCCTATTTGAATCATTTTATTAGTGGGTGTTTGTAATGTTTCTAAATCCTACAACATATGCTGTTATTGATTTGCCATTTTCATATGTGTATCCAAACTCAAAAAGAAGTAATATACGTACTATGTAAAATTTTATTTTATTTAATGAATCGTAATAAAATGTAATAAAAATAATTTTAGAAGGAAAAGGGTTTATAATTAAAATTTTATGTCTGACGCAATTTATGGATAGGGGACGATGTAGATTGTCAAATGATGCACATGGCATGGCCAACAAGAAGATAAATGAGAATTAAGGGCAGGGCTAAAAATGGACAAAACACAAAAAACAAAGGACGATAAGGACATACTAATAATAACAAATTAGTCCTAAAAAAACAAAATAAAAAGGGCAGATAGAGGCCCATGCCAACCAATCCCAATACTCATATGTCCCCCCGTGTGGGCCGGACCCACCACAAAGCCCACTGTCACCTTCACCAACAGACCCCACACGTGTGCAGTCTAAACTAGTGTCCCCATCTCCAAAATCTTAACAAAGACATCACACGTGTGGATAATTAATAGTTTTGAACTGAATTTATGTTACTACGTTAACAGCTGACACCATAGACAGGAGGGTACTCGTTTTTAAGTCCTTACTGTACTTGAAAAACACAAGCTTTTGCAAGTCAACTGTTTTAGTTTTAGATTTTGACTATTACATCTTACTTTTAACCTACCATACCAATCTCTTTCTTTTTCTGCCACTTTCAATACAAAAAATATCTCGGAAACCAAACAAAGAATTAAATTTTCATTTTAAATTTATATTTTATCTTTTAAGTAATTTCATAGTCATAGCTAACAGAAAAGTTTATAAGAAATCATCAAATGACATTATTTTATAATAAATTTTTTAAAAATGTGAGCCATTTAACACAATAAATGATATGAAATGATGGACAATATGACTTTCTACCCACTATCAAATCATATCAAATTGCTAATTTTCTTAAATAGTCTAATTAAATATAAATTTTAACTAACAGTTCTTAAAGCAATTTGATTTAATTAAATTATTTAAGACTAAAGTAAACTGTTATTATAACAATTAAATATCCTCTTTTAAAAAACTTCCGAACAGCAATGATTCATAGGATTTGAAAATCGTGCAAACCTCTGCTGCTGTGTCCTGTTCGGCTTTGGTTAGATTGCGAGTCTGGTTGCTTATTATTGAACGGGATTTAAATTTGATATTCCAAATTTATTGATTTGAAATTTATTGGAAAAATATATAAACTTGAATTGGATAATAAATGAATTTCTTGAACGAAGTATCTTGCATTTCAATTATAAATTTTGATAATATTATATATATTTCGATAATAATAAAAAGAATTATTAAAATTTTTTATTTTTATATGTAAAATATTGATTTGATATATAGTTAATATAATTTTTAGAATAATAATTTTTATTATTTTTAACTGTTTGATTATATATATATATATATATATATAATAATATTATATACATATATATATATATATATATATATATATGTTAAAATCTCGCGTGCGTGTGTGTCTGTATATACTTGGCATTTAAAACTTGAACGTGGCTACGTTGAGTTCACGAGTGGATTGTCTCCCTCCTACCCTAACATCATTTTATTAACAGAAAGTGACTGTAATAAACCCAGCTGTCTTCTTTCAACTCCAGATTCATGCATGTCAATTTCAATCCCAGCTTTTATCCATATGTTTTTCTTGGAAATTTCCTAAAAATTTTCTTTAAATTGTTTTTATTTAAATTTTATTATATTGATTTTAATAGAATTCAATCTTGCAAATTTATATAAATATTTAATGTTTAATTTATCTGTTCCTGCAATGCAGAAAAGTCAATATTTCAATCTGTTCCTAAAAGAAAATTATGTATGAAAAGTATTGTTAATTAATTAAATAATGACAGTAGAGGCAAAGATTAGCTGGAGGTGGTTTTCAAAGGACCCATCCGGTCTGGGGTTGGAGACCCAAAATTCTGTCGGATTGGCTGGCCATAATTGGAGGATAGACTCTGCAACTAAAACCTCATAATGCCACTCTCTACTCTCATTAATCAACCAACCTGGTGGACCCTTTCCTGTCTCTACTGCCTCAAAATTCAAAGTTTACCTTTTTTTTATATAATTACAGCATAATTTTTTTTTTTTTAAATCTTACTAAAATTAAACGGTTGATCTGATTATGATTAGGTGTTTATCTCATACTGCCAATATATATATATATAATATGCGATTTTATCTATATGGTCGTGATTTGAAATCTAGAATCGTCACTGTTAATAACACTTAACATGAATATTATCCTGATTTGAAATCTGAAATTGTCGCTATTAATAATACTTCACAGGAGCGTTATACTGATTTGAGAATGAAAACACGTGTACACAACTATATACACATTTAGAATTTATGAATAAAAAAAAAAGAGACATTTGGATGTGATCATTGAATGAATTTACCATTTATTTGGAATAAATGAATTCTACAATAATCTAATTTCATGTTTGATATGAAAAAAAAAATTAAAAATCAAAATTTGTGAATTCAATTTTATGAATATGAATATACAAAAACTAAATACTACAAAAAAATTGCGGAATTCTCAAATGGATTCCACAAAATTAAACAATCCAAAAATTCATAACAAAATTATCTATCTCCTAGCTTTTCAAAACTATTATATTAAAAAGTAATTTAAGAAATAAAATTAAATGAATTTTTAATTGTGAATTTACTTTAATATTAAAAAAAATCATTTATAAATAAACCGCAAATAAAATCCATTTATAAATAAGTTTTAAATTCATTTATATCAAAAATAGGTCAAGGGATGATGCATTTATGGACTTTGGCTGCATAAGAAATGTATAGTGTTGACATTGTAATTAATTGAAATAAGATGAAGGCAAATAGAAACTCATCATAATTATGAATTCATGACTGTTGTCTAACCACTTGTTCTATGGGAAACAAAAAGGAGATTATCTATTCATTATGGTCGGGACATTATAGGGGTCTCATTGCGATCTAAATCTTATATATAAAGCTAAATAATTTACGTAATTATGACTTTTTTGCTATATAAATAATTATTAATTAAAAGTTAATAGTTTAATATTGTCGAACAATTTATAAAACAATTAATGTTGTCAAATATAATAGATTGATTATAAAATTTTAAAATTAATTTAGGAGTTTTCATTTATACTAATGGCTATAAAATGGTACTTAAAAATTTTGATAAAATTCCAACCATTTATTTATTTATTTATTTATTTTTACTATGACCAATGATCCGATAACGAGTACATTTTACTTTAATTAAAAGTATTTAAATTAATAAATTCACAAATAAAATATGTAGAGGCGATGCATTGTGCATGGCTCATGTGGCTTGACCGTAAGCATTGGAATAAAAGCCCTTAATAAGGGAGGGTCACAGACCCATGCCCTGGTCATCAACGACAATCCACGTGGGCCCAGCTCACATGGGCTGCACCCAACCTCCGATCTTTGATCAAACGGTGATGATGTACTCTCGTGGAATCCTTAAGTGAATATTGATCGTTGGATTTGAAAGTCACCGTCTTCGATGTGGGTGGCTAAAGCAATGTCCGAAGCTTGTCACCGAAATGTAAGGACAAATCCCTTTATTTTGCTGTTCATGTGACAAACACACTTAGCTGCTGTTGTCCAATTTTTTTGCCCTCAGATTCCTTTTCCTCGATCTTCCCATTTCACTCTCTCTTCACCCTCGTGCGTACCCTTATCTCCTAACCTAAAATTACAAGATAAATAAATAAATAAATAATATATATATATATTTTTTTATTATTTACATATATATTTTCACGCTCGAATAAAATCTGAGTAAACATTTCATTTCCATTAATCTAACCATAAAATAATTACAAGACAAAATACTTATAATGGAGAGGTTGAAGACGTGTATAACCAACTTTATTAGTAGAAGTTTATTTTTCTATAAAGGGTAAAATGTAGAATGCACGCGCTCTGGAAGTTGAAGATGAGTGACCCTAGACAATGTTCTGTTGTCCCTAATTAATTAATCAATTACCTTTAAAATCACCAACCTTTCCTTCTTCTATAAAATACCTTGAATTTAGCTCAACCCTTTCACATTCTTTCTCTTCTCTAATAAAGCACACACAACCTTCACCGAAAGGGAATCAAGAACTATTTCGCTAGCTACCTGCATATCAATCCAGATTCATATTTTCATCAAAAAACAAGTGTTTGATAAAGAAAAGATCTACATATCTTCAAGAATGGCATTCAAGAGAGATGATGAGCTCCATCTTGATGCTACTGAGCTCAGATTAGGCTTGCCAGGCACCAGCGATCAAGATCAGTTAGACAAGCAAACCTTAATTCCTACTAATCCAAAATGCAACAAAAGATCCTTGCCAGACATGAATGACGAGAACTCAAGTTCAAGGGATATTAATAACTCTAATGTCTCAAATCAGAAAAAAACTGACCAAGAAACTGCTCCTCCTGCCAAGTAAGCTCCATTTTCTTGCTTTTCAGTTTATGTTAACGTTATGCATGATTTTTCTATGGACTAATATAGACTGGGATCTTTTTTTTTTAAGGGCACAAGTTGTAGGGTGGCCACCTATCAGATCTTACCGGAAAAACTGTTTCCAAGCAAAGAAAATGGAGGCTGAGGGTTCTGGAATTTACGTTAAAGTTAGCATGGATGGTGCTCCTTATCTTAGAAAGATTGATTTGAAGCTCTACAAAGATTACTCAGAGCTTCTTAAAGCTTTAGAAGACATGTTCAAGTTCGAAGTTGGTAAGTATTACTGATTTATTTGTATTTAATGATGATTTATTATAATTAGATTATTATTGAGTTAATTAATCCTTTACTTTTATTTTATCAGGTGAGTATTCTGAGAGGGAAGGCTACAATGGGTCAGAATATGCACCTACTTATGAAGACAAAGATGGTGACTGGATGTTAGTTGGAGATGTTCCATGGGAGTAAGTTGATCTAATTAATTTCTCTAATTAATTAATTAATTAACCCATATGTAATTAATTAAGTAATTAATTGCAATATTTTCTTTTTGTTATTACAGTATGTTCATCAATTCCTGCAAGAGGCTGAGGATAATGAAAGGCTCAGAAGCTAGAGGCTTGAGTTGTGTTGTATAAAATTAAATACAATACATATAAATATTTCCAAGCAATTATTGAAGAAATCTGGATCTGTTTATCCCTGAATTAAAAAAAAAAAAAAAAAAACAGGATCTAATTGTTTTTTTTTCTTTATTTTTTTTTCTCTGTACATTGAGATGCAAAGAGAAAATTTATAGGGTTTTTTTTTTCCAGATCTCCAATGTATAGTTTGGTTATATTAATTTGCTTTTGAATTAATGGAACTGTACAAAGGAAATATTGGTCAATGATATGGTCACAAGTAATTTTTGATGCATCATAATATTTTTTTATTGAATTCAATTTGTATGTTAATTTTTATTTTGAATAGAGAGGCTTTTGACTTAATTTAAGCTGCGTACTCATCGATTATGTTGTTTCATCAAGTCATGTGGTTATATTAAATTACATATTATTAATAGAAATTAAATCATACGATTATATGTGTTTTCACGTGTTATCTATTAATTTTTATATGTGTTTTCACGTGTTATCTATTAATTTTCTTACGTCTTGTATAAAATGTATAGAGTGAGAAATCCTTTTCACTATATAAATTATAAAATCGCTGATTTGTTTTTACATTTTTATTTTTATAAAATCTTAAAAATAAAAGATTTACAATTAACTATATTAATCATGATCCATTTTTTCTCAACCAAACAAAAAAATCTACTATAAATAAATGGAATATTTAAATTTCTTCATTTACCATCGTGATTATTAAATGCAATTAAGCATGGTGCACGCAACGCAAGAGCTGAATCCTGAATGGACAGTATGGGCTGGGCCCTACATCTTGGGCCATTCATCTGTACAAATAATTTAGGCTTAAACTATGATGGACTTTGGTGGTGGTTCTGGATAAGTTGGGCCTCAGGTTCAATCTCACATTCTCCCACTTCAGTAATTCCGTATGAGTAGCCCATTTCATTTTTATTTGGTAAAAATATGCATTTGTATAATATTAAATTATTAATGCATTTGGTAATGCAATTGGAAAAATTATCAAAATTCTGATAAAATTGAAAAAAATTGTTCTGTATTTTATTTTTTTAATTAGTCATGTGAATGAATTCAATAAGTGTTGATTTCTCGTCAAAATCTAAATAATTTGTAACTTAATACAATTAATTTATATTAGTGATGTCGAGATTCAAATCTCAAATATAAAATATGAAATATAGTATGATCAAAATCTAAAAAGAAAAAATATTGCATATTTTATAGAGTTTATATGACATAGTATAATTTTTTGAGTTATACTCTTTCTTTTATTAAAAATATAATAAAATTCAATTTGTTATTTTTAGTTTCTATTATTAAATAAAAATTGAACTTTTAGAAAATGAAAGTGAAAATTTTATTTGCGTATGAAATTTTAAATGAACTATAGATAATCTTATTCTGGTGTTTTCTTGAATTTTTTTGGTATGAAAAAAAAGAAAAGAAATAAACCAAATAAGAAAAAGAAAAGCTGACGTGGTGACTGGTGAGTGGAGCCCAGTCCATGGAAAGTTCAATGGCTTATATAGGCTAATCTCACGTCTCTCGCTGGTTCGGTTCTCCTATTTCCCTCAGAAGAAGAAGAAGAGGGGGCCGGGGGGGTTAAATTGCGCCTCCAATCTTCTCCTCATCATTCGGTCGTCCTCTTCCAAAATCAGACTAAGAAAAAAAAAAAAAAACCCCTAAAATCAGAACTAAGAAAAAAACACACCAACACGCCATAAACACAGGACGAACTTGAAACTCGAACGCGAACACTACCAAGCATGTACTCCCGAAATCATAGAGACGGCGAGATTCTATCCTTCCTTTTAGAACATGTCCCCCACAGGCGAGACACTCAGAGGCATATGCAGATCCAGTGAAGGACGATAACAGGCAGTTTAGAAGGCCCAAACTTTGGAACCTATACGAAGGAAACAGCAAAATGGCCGAGGTTGGGCAAAAACTTGGTCCGATTTTCTCTCTTGTGAGTCGTGCTGCGAGGAATCTTTTCTTTTTCCGTTGAAAGAATTTGGGTGAGAAATCTAAATCAAACTAACCAATCTGAGTCCCTGAAGAAAAAGATTAACCTTTTGTGAGGTACTTGGTCAGACCCAGCAACGCCTGCTTAGCCTCAAATGTCCTCGCTAATGGTGGCCACAGGGTTAGTTCCGCCAATTTCTGTTGCTTAAGCTAATTGGTCAATGTGAATTTTAGGTTGTTTATTGAGGTCATCGATGTGAAAACAATCCCTGTTGTTTGGGTAGATTTAAGAGAACATTGTAAATTTTTAGGTTTTGTTTCACATTTTCCCTGGAAGAAGTGTCGAATTTTGGGTATTACCTGCTTTCCTCACGGTTGCCAAAAGTTCCTGCTAAGCTGTTCTTAACTGTTGAGTTTTTGATGTTAGATTAGCAGTGCTACCATTTGGTGGTTTTGTTAGAACTCTTTCAAGTATGTTTTCAAAAAGATTGTTCCTCAAAATGTTAATTCAACTGTGTCATGCAGAATAGCAAGAAATTTAGCCAAATCAGGGAAAGGAGTTTCTACGTGGTGGGGTTACTTGCATGAACTGATTAGTAATCCAATTTTGGTCCTTATAAACTGTAGAAAACCTGGAGAAGCAAATTGTGAATTCTCTTTTGTGCCTTGTGGAGCGCAGTCGCACTTTATATGAATGCTACGTCTTGATTAGGGTTTAGGAAAGCTTTGGTTCACTTGGAAGTACGTTTTCTCACAAATATTTCTTGGGCCGGTAGTCGTTTGTAACTGTTTAGTTGCACGCTAGGAATATAATGAAAACTGCATTGAGACATAGAATAATTTATGTTAACAGATAAACTATGAAAACATCCATATCGTAATATGGGAATACATGGTATTTACGTAATTATTGGTTTGAATGCTAGAATTACATCTATATCCAATCCATGTATTCAATCTTTGTTGTGTGAATGCATAATATGAATTACATAGAGAGGGGTAAAATTATGGTGTTTCACATAGCGACTACTTATTAGCCTTGTTTCCATAATGGTGATAGTTTATGCCTTAGGGTTTGGATTATAGGTTCTTTCCCTTTTCATGAGTTTGTCAAGTTCGGCAAAAAAGTCCCCTCTCCATCAACCCACAAAACATTTTCCATTGACCAATGATTACCAATGAGCCCAAGCATCGGGAATTCGAAACAAATCTAAAATTTTTTTCTTTGGGAAAAACTATTTTTCAAAACTAATGGAACATTAACCCAAAATTAATTATTTTTTTTGGTTATTTGGACACTTTTGGCAAGATGATTTAAGATTGCATGTTTTCTATGGAGAGAACTTCCAAAAGAACCTATATAAAGAGCAGAACAACAAACGGTCCGTGTATAATAGGGCTGTCGAGAACGGTAATAGGATAACTGCACGTACGAAAAATGGGAAGCACTTATTAGGAGGTGAACGTTGCGAATCGTATTTCTGTAGAAATAATACACTGAGCACACACAGTGGACACACGAGAAATTTTCTTTGGCCCCATCTTCTTCTTGCTCGTATCATTTCTTTTTTAAGCTAAGTTGTTCCTTAATAATATTGTGGCCATTAACTTCGTCACATCGTGATCATGTTAGCGGACAAAACTGAATGGGTTTCAAGACCGAACCACATGTTGGTATTCGGATTCAGCATATTTTATGAGATCACAAACCAATAAACTTTGTGATTATAGGTGGTGTTTGGGTGATTCTATGTCTTATTGGTATGATGGATGGTTGTTGGACAAATAGTAGAAAATTGGGCAAATCATAACGTAATTCTGTATATCATTGTTTTCATCACCTGTAATAATCCAATAATACATGCTTAATGATAGTATGAGAATGAGCCAGGTTGACTACTTTTCCGAATATTGGCAAATTCGAACTCTGTTGATGTGTTTTAACGTTTTCTTCAGATCAGCTTTTTCCTTAAGATATTGTCCTTGTTTCCATAAAAGTCATTTTCATGTAGACCCTGAGGTCTTTTTTTTATTATTCCTAAATTCATGTTCTTTTAATTAAATTCTCATCTTCCCAAAGGTTCCATTGATACAATATTGCAAAGCAACTTCGTCACCCTATCAAATCATGATGCCATGTTTTACCAAGCTGCCAGATTCATTGTTTTTCATGCATGAGGGGCTACAGCAGGCTCGTGCTCCTACTTTATTATGTTTCCAATCTGCTATAGAAAGTTCTTCCTCACTGGATCTAATTCAGCGGTCTGCTCAAAATGTTTCGAAGATGTAGGTAATGCAGAAAGGCTCGTTAACTGAAAGAGCAAGCAGAAGTCTAGCATCTAAAAAGTTGGACACGCTTGTCGGCGTCCAAGTTACTTGAAGTTACACTGCGCGGAAAGGAGATCTTCGGAGGTGAAAGTTTCTGATGGTACATGCACTGACTTGTTGTGGAAGGTGAATTTAAGTTTAGTTAACTTGATTACGAGGTCATTCTATCAATGTGGAGAATATTGCATTTGGAGTTGCTTGTTTGGTGAGAAGAAGCGACTCGTGAAAATTGGAAGAAATTTGGCAGCGGCATAATCCTTGAAGATGCATTTAGAGCGCAGAAAAGGCTGCCGCATGAGATCCGTTCATGCTTTGTATTTAGTCCTCCATGATCTTTGCATTTCTGCTAATTATGGATAACTGTAATAAGGCAAGTACAACAGAACACTCGTCAGGAAGGTGGAAGACGCAATTCGGTTTTGATCATAACGAAGGTAGTACTGGGTTTCTGGACAACTAAATCAAGATGGAGAAACTGATTATACTGGTGGTATGGCGCACACCTGGTTGAAAATTTATGTACTGGCTTGATTTGGATAAAAAACTCTGGTGCCTAACTGATTCCAGGACATGCCCATTTATAAAAAATTGAACCTGGCCAGAATTTGCAGATAAAGTGTGTCCCATCAAGTCTTTTGTTGTAGATCCAAAATGATAGAGAGGCAGAATTTTTTCCCTTGGCCACAGTGTATTGATGTTGAAAACATTGTTGCTAGAGCATATGCTGTAATAGATATAGTCTCGTCTGCTTGAATTCCGAAACGGAGCTGGTAAGAATCTCAAATCTTTCGTGTTGCGGGTGATGTTGTGCTTCAATCACTTTATGGATACCTGATGTTGAACCAGCAAAAAGGTAGGCCTGACATCCTTTTGTGTGGGTTGCCTTTTTGAAATGAGTTTGGGGTTAACAGTTCTCTCTAAATAAAATCATAGCTACACAATGTTGCAGAAGCCTACTAATTAAGTTTTTATGTGGCATTTTTTACAATTTATAACTTCCTGGGTGAACTGATTTGTTTGGTTTAAGAGTTCCCATTTATGTGCAATATCCTGAAATTCATGATCTTTAATTTTATAATATAACATAATTTATTCTTTTTTGCTTTGATTTATGTCTGCAGAAGAAAGTAAGAAACGATGGTAGAGACTATAGGGACAAGAGCACTATGTTGCGCGCCTATGGCTATCATTTTTCCAGCATTGGAATAAATTACAAGGTATTTCCCTACCTTTTAGACGTGCAAGCAGAACTTTAATTGCCCATTTATTATTGCTGCCTATGGCTATGGCTGTATATATGTGGTATGTATAGGATTTATCCAATTACATTTTTTTTTTTTTTAACCTGGAAAACAGTTGAGCAGAATGACTTTTGTTGTAAAAGAAACTGTAGAAAATAAACTTAAACCAGTTTCCAAAATCTTTGTAAATTTTGGACAACTGGAAAATTGTTTCAGTTCTCAAAGAAAGAAAACTGAAACATTCCTTGAACACAACTTTTGTTTTTTCACAGTTTCCTTGCGAATTTTTCTCTGGAAAACTACCCTAGTTTTTCCTAAAGTAAATAGCTCCTATAATGTTCTAAACTGAGCGTCTTCTAAAACTGAGAGCCGTCATGCTAGTGGGCTATCATCCACATAAACTGAGAAGAAAGTGAAAATTGCTGTGAAGAACTTTGAATGTTTGAAATATTTAGAAAATTCTAAACTACTTTAAATGTTAGGTTAATGAATAAAGTGGCTATTTGCTATTGCAGAGAGTCCCTATGTAATAGAAATGCTGGAACAGAAACTTATTTGGTTATACTTTACTCTTAATCCTACCATGAGTGACATTGTTTCCAGAGTGTATGTCTTTTCCTTTAAGGCTTCTTCTGTTTTGGAGAATTTGAAAAACAAAAGTTTCGGTCCTTGAGGTAATTTCCATGCAGTGAATCGTGCACTAGCCTGTGATACTTGGTGCATCCTAAAGAAATAATTTAACCATTTCTTTAAGTTCTTCCTGAATCTGTATTTTGGATTCGCAGGAATGGTCCGCTTTTCTTCTCAGAATCGTCCCTAGATTACTTATTGCCTGTTGGTGTTGATAGAATATGAAGAAGCCTTAATCAAGGAAAGTACAACTGCTGCTGAAGTTTTTATCAGACCTGAGAATCAAAAGCATTTTTGCATTTATTGCTTCTATTGGCAGGTTTTTTAGGCCTCATGGTAATTGTTGCCTCCCCTTTTTTTTTTTTTCTTCTTGTATGCCGAATGATAGAAGTTCTAAACAGGAGAGTTTTATGGTAGAATACTAGATTTTTAAATTCCTGATGTTATTCCTAACAGAGTGATGACAGCTCGATGATGTGAATTTTTCACAGGTATAGTGAACATGGTTGACTATTGTGAAAGTAACTAAAACTCTTATGAAAGTTCAACAATGTGTGCTAATGGGGTTTCCAGATTTGTGGGAGTTCATATTTTCTGCTTTGTGCAACTTGAATAGGATTTCAAGCTCTGTTCAAGCTGCTGGAGACTCAGCCAGATTCATCTGGGAAAAGTTCATTCTTTGAATGGATTCAAATATGTTGATGCGTATAAAGGAAATTGATGTTAGCCAGATGCAGATGCTTGAAGCCCGAGTTTGAATCTTAGTCTATTGGACTTTGGGAAAATGAATGGTTTTTTGCCTAGATGCCTGGGGTTCCCATTCAGACCGTCTGACATGGACTTCTTTTTCTGAGTTCCAGTCTTGAAGGTCCTACTGCAAATTGCAGGATGCCGCTCCATCAGTTTCTTCAATCTGTTGTCGGATGAAAGTATTTGAACTTTGAGAAAGGGGCATCCTGCACCTTCATTCCCTCTCCAGAATCATACTTTTTCCATCAATGCCTTCCTCTGCTTCTCGTTTTGGTCTGGTTCCGATGAATCTTCATAGTGCTAAATGCTGGAACGCCTTATTCCTAGTGGGAAGGAAGGGTTCTTCAGGTCTCTCAGATGAAAACAATGTTGTAAAAGTTTCCAGTGCAAGCTTTCCAATTATAATGGTTCTTTGGTATCCATCAAACGAATTGAGAGGCCCAATACATCAATTCCATTTTGCTCACTATCTTCTGGTCCTAGGAAGGAGTGCAAGTGTCAAAACTACCAGCTTCAAAAATCTGACCAGGAATTTGACTTCTCTGAAGATCTCCTCCATCTTCTTATTGGAGGGTTAGTTCTAATTCCTGCAGTAAGATGAAGAATCATGCGAGACTGCGAATGATATGTCAATGGATTGTCCCTGTCAGGAAAGTAGATTCATCCGACTGTTATCTCCAACCCAGTCCACCGGCTCTCGAGCCTCCACGCCAAGGTGCCAAGCCCTATGCGCTGGAGAAGCTCCCCTACTGGGACTCTTGCTGGGTCCTATAAGAATCACTGGATCAAGCTCATTAGTTTTACAGACTCCCGTACTGTAAGTATATTCCTCCAATTTTGTTCTCCTTTGTACTTGTATTAGACATATTTTTGACTAGAATAAAATTTCATGCTTCTTTTCAAGCCCCAGGCATAGCAGGGGGATACGTGCTTATCATGGATCTGGTCATAATGTTCCAAACCTACAATAATCCAAGAAAACGGACCAGTTCAGATGTGGTTAATTTGATTACCAGTCACTCCATAGATATATGACCCAAGGAAGGATTTTCCCTGAAGAGAGGAGAACCACAGAACACTTGTCTCTCAGCAGCATTCATGCACAGATGCTTATAGTCATGCAGAAATTCGCGCTTTTAAAAATGAAGGATAACAGTTATGGGCAATCTTATAGCTGAAGCAAATAAGGGGAAATGCCCTTCTAAAGCATTTATGTTTCTGCTCTACTTCATGTGGTTTAGGCATTGTTCACTGCATTAAGATCCAGACTAACTAGCAGATGGACGGCCCTTGAAATTCCATATGTCTTGAAGAGGTTGGTCTGAGAAATGCAGTCTTCAATATCTGGTTTCCGGCTTCCATTTGCCTCGAGGCGATTCCTGCAGCACATATGCTTTGCCGACTTGGCAGACCTGGAAGCGATGTATTGGGATGGTTAAAAATAACTGAATCCAGCACTTCCGCGATCCTGTGGGGCTTCAGAAGGGAAGCTAGTACCGACCCCCACATGGGCTCTGGTTCGTATTGCCAATGACTTCTATGTAGATCCGCCATATTCGTTATGATCCAGAAGGCGTTGTTCTGAGTTATCAGTCTGTCAGGCTGGATAGCTATTAAGAAGCTAGCTAGTGCACTAGACATATAGTATAGGCCTTCCTCAATGACTCTTTAGAATGTTTTGGGTGGAATTCTCCGAGTTACGGTGATTGCTTGTCGTAAGACGCAGATGAGAAATAGATGAAAGCATCTAATTTCTGATGTTAAAGTTTTCAGTGGAGGCAAAACTGTCTTGAGGCAGCTGATTAAGTTATCAGAACAGATGAGGAAGAGCAATTTTAAATTGAGGCAGTTTGGAGCTAATGAGTTTGTGGTTCAGTTTTTTGGGACGCGGTGTCCTTGGTCGCTTTGTTGTTGAGTGGGAATCCAAGGTAAAGAAGGTGCACATGCATGTTTCCCTGACCAACTATGGCCGCATACTAAGGTAAATCTAATCTTTAATTGTTATGGTATTTATCTGGTTTGTCCTTTCCTCACGCCCCCCCCCCCAAAAAAAAAAAAAAAAAAAAACCACAACCACCCACACATGATTTATCTTTTCTTATAATTATTATCTTGTCATAAAGTTATCAAAATCAGATCAGGAAATCATTATGTTTTCTCCAAGTCATTATTCTAGAACTTCCATACCATTTTTCTTCCATTTTGATTTAGATACTTGATGAAATTGCAACTAGGCCTTGGAAGTTTGTTGTATTATACAAGTTCTAGCATGTTTCTTCCCTTTTTGTGGTTTAGTTTTGTTATTTGCTGTTTTAGAGTGATATCACTTATTACGGACTTTGTATTCTTTGCAGTTTCTGGACAGATTTTATAAATGGTGCCGGCAGTTGCATCTTTTTTGGATGCATTCCCTTACTGCAGGACCATTGTATGCTCTGGCAGCCGCTACTCGGCCTGCAACGTGCTGGTCCTTCTCAGGGGTTCTGGGGTAACATCAGCTATTTGCTTCTATGCGAAACAGGCAGGTTATGTACAATCCCAGGGGGTTTTTGCCTGGCAGTTTCAACTAATAACTGTTAGTGCGGCAACTTCTGGTTTCAATAGTGAACTCTGTTGCATTTCTACTGGTACTGGCCTCTTGGGAATCACAATTTTTCCATGGTCCCTGCCAAATGTTAGCCTTTCTGCTGGTTCGAAGGGCCCTGGCATTGTTTCTAGCTTAAACACTTTTGCCAATTGGGATTGTCTCTGTCGTTCTACGCGGTCCATACTGGAATCCGATTATCTTATCGCAAGAATTTTGGCAGTGATATGCGATGCTTTTTTGCTGGAGACATCAGGTTTGGTTGCAAACCGGCCACCACCTAAGAAGCCACAAAGCTGGGAGGATCACTGTCCTCCACCCCCCCCTTGTCCCCCAATTTCGAACCTTCATTATGGCAGCATAGTTGCCCAGAATTGGAATGGATTAGATTCTGGCTTTTGCTTGGTGGTCAGACATGACAGTTGGGCTAGCAAGTTTCTAACACTGCAAATCCAGGTTGCAGGTTCTCATTGTCAGGTCTAATGGAAATAGAGTTTAACATGCCCTAGTTCCCTGCAGCACTTTCAAGAGCAGCAAACCAAGTTGGCTGCTCCTAAATCGTGTGGAAATGCTGTTCCAGGATTTCAAATTTGGCTGTTGTGAGTTCAGGAATTGCCTATACGTAGATCCCCGGGTGCTGGTGTCCCCCTGCTCACGGTGAGCAGGAGAACTAAATACAGCCATTATTGGTCTTTTTGTGATGATGGAGGGTAATGGGGTGGCTTGGGTTCCCTCTTCTTGCTCTTAAGAAGGTTCTAAGAGGTATTCTTAATACCTGGAGTCCTTTGGCTGTTTGCCGCAGTTACCAGATCTTCTGAAAGAGATCCTAGGATCAATATTGAAGACAATGAAGGTGCAACTCTTGAATTTGGACCAGTGAAACAGCCGGCCCTTGCGTTTTTTTGTGGGGTAAGATAGTAAAACCGATTTTGTTTCAAAGTTTTCCTTTCTCCTTCTAATTAGCAAAGGCATTTCAATTTTTAAATAATATGTAAGTTTTTTTTTATGTCCCGCTCCTTGTAGCTTCGCATTTCTTTTTTTTTGGTTTTTTCTGGGCTTTATTGTTAATCCAATATTTTTTTCCCTTTAGCGTGTTGTGCTTTGCAATTAATGTGATTTGTGTTCAATTACTTTTGTAACATTTAGGTTTTCATTTTTCACAAGCATAAGTCTACTGAAGGAGAAAGAATTTTATTAGAAGACATTGACAGTTTTGGAGTAAAAGCAATTGAGCGATTATTAGTGTGTTTTCTTAGTCTAATATGCGAATGACACAATTTGATCCCCCTTTAACAAAGACTGTTAGGTTCTTATGTGGTGGTCTGAGTACATTTTGTTCTAATGCCATTTGCAGGAACAACCCAGATAAGGCCCTAAGAAATAAAGCTTCAGCCTGGCTTTCTAATCGCCATCATCTGGGATTGTGTGTGTCCTTTTGCGATATCCTAGAAAAAATCGTCGCAACAAGAGAGGAACCTCAGTAGGCAATGCCTTCCTAAATACGTAGAATAAAATTCAAAGCACTTGTGATTCAGTAGCCGAACACAAATTTTGAAATATCCTGCTAAGAATATTGTTGATGCTTTAAATTATAGTTAGGAATAGAATAGTGGACTTAAATGCTTTAATTCCTACAGTCTGTCGTAAATTGATCATGGTTTCCTACGACATGAAAGTTTCATGCCAAA